AAAAGACACTTGTTTTTTTCTTTCTTTTTTAATCAAGTTCACCCCCAAGCAAGGCAGTAAAGCCTTTAAGACACAAGGGGTTACTTAGTGTGGAAGTATTAGAAAACAAAAACATTATTAAGGAGCAAGAACAAAAGAAGAGTAATCAGGATGACAGGGGATAGCAATTGAGATTGCATTTGAAGATTAAAGTTGGCCAGAAAGCATGGAGCCAGAGTTTCATGAGCGAGAAGTGTGAGAAAAGAAACTTCTAGCATAGAACTTATAGTTACATCTAGCCAACTTAACTGTAAATTGATGAGACCTTGTTGCTAGCTTGACACTGTACTTAAATTCATAAAGTCTAGGTACGATAATGAAGAGCTCATCTGAGCAATTACCATGAAAGTTTGAATAGTTTATTTTTAATTATTCTATATTCACCTTTTAATTATTTTACATTACATTCTTATAAATTTTTTTTATAAAACTAGTGTCCTCATTTTGTTGTTATTATCACAGCATTTTAGCTGTTATGTCTTTCAACCTCTTCCAGGTGTCTGTTGATCAGAGTTCAATCTTTGGGTCAGGTAGTATAGAGTCAGACTCAGTGGAAGAATGAGCAATAACTGAGCAGTACTAAATAAGAACAAGTCAAGCTATCCCAAGACATTGACATAAGAACAAGAAAAATCTACCCCCTATAGATTAAATGAAGTGTTCATTTCAGAATTCCCTGAAGATTAATGTTATGATAATAAAAATTGTGAGGATATTAATCCAAATGTAAATAATAATTCCTCAATCCAGAAATTCAAACAGGAACTAATTTGACTTGTATATATATATCATCTGTCTACTACATCCAATCAATTACTGAAGAAATCTTTTCCTACATTTTTAAGCATTAGCAAATGTTGAAATTTCTGCTTTTGAATGCATTAGGAATTAGCTAATAGGAATATTATAACACAATTTCTGTGTTATGCTGTGTCATTTTTGCTATGTTAACAAACATAGCAAAAATGGCACAGCATAACACAATGAGCAATACAATTTAAATATTAAAACTTGGATAATAATGTTTTAATCAGGCCATTTCCACATAGTTTTTCATTAAATATAAATTGACAAAAAAGGAGATAGCTGTTAATTACAGTTATTTCACTTTACATATTTGCAATATTCTTCATCAGTCATAGTTGCATAGCAGTGACTATACTATAACAAAAATAAAGTTTATTGATAATTAGCATTTTCAAATAATTCTAATGTAAAATCTATAAATAGGAAGTATACCAAACATGGAAATAAAGCAAGTATGAAAGTGTGATATTGTGTTGTTCTATGATACAAGATCAGTAGTCAACTTCTTGCCTGTCTCTTTACTATATATTCTTGGTATTAGCCATAGGCTTGACTTCTGTTGCATTATCCTGATCTGAAGAACTCATCTCTTTTTTGTCAAGGTCTTCTTTCATCACAACATCTTCCTCTTCAATTCTGAGTCTTAATTAATCCGAATGGCCATTAGGCTTTTTCCTTTCTTTGATATAATGGTAGATTTGCTGATACCTATCTTTGTAGAGATAATATGTCAGTTTCAACCCAATGGAATATTTCTTCATCCAGGATTTTTATATTTTCTTTTTGATCCTATTTCCTTTTATGTATTCAATGTCAAAATCATAAGCCATTATTTTTATGGCACATCTTAGGATCCTGGAAGTAACTTTTGGTAGCTCTAGGGTTAAAAATAAACTTTAGAAGTTTATGGTCTAAATTTAATAGGAACTTCTTTTCTAATAAGTGCTGTCAACCTCTGTCTGTGCTCCAGAAAATGACCAATGCCTCTATTTCAGTATCAGAATAATTTATTTCTGCTGCCCTTAATCTTCTTGAAAGATACATTATTAGATGGTCTTCTTGCAGTAAAATCACTGATACAGCTCGCTCACTTACATCTGTAGTTAAAGTTGTTTAGTAACCACTGGTTCAGACTGACAAGGATTCTTCAGGCACTCAAAGAGAAATGGGCATAGTTTATATGGAACTGAGAGTTTGAGTCCATTAAGAAGTGTAGGGGAGTTAAATATGCTGCTAGCAAGAACCTACCAAGTTATGAGGGGGGGAACTTAATCTAACAGCAACAGAACAATAACAGATATAACAAAAGTAACATACTTTCTGGGATCAAAGATTTTTACAATGGGTTTTTCTGCGAGCATTTCTTTTAAATCTTTGAATGCTAAGCTTTGCCTTTGAGTTCATTTGAACTCATGAAAAAAATCATGCAGTTCAGAAAATGGTTCTTTTAAGTCACTGTATTTTGGTAAATATCTATTATAAAAAATTAACCAATCCTAAAAAGGATTTTAATTCTTTTTTATTAGTAGATATAGATACCTCTGAAATTTTCTTAATTAACTTTGGATCTGGTGCAATGCCATCTTTTAAAATTTGGTATCCTAAATATGATATTGTATCACAATCAAATTCACATTTGTCTCTGTTTATTGTCATCCTTTCATTTTTTTACTTGGTTAACATATTTTCTGTTTTTGTCTTAAGTTGTCTTTAGTGGTATCACCAAGGCAAATATCATCTTGATAATCATATTACTGATTTTTCTATAGATTTTAGTTTTACTGATAGTTTAAAATCAATAAATATTTATATCTTTTTATCATTATTACCGGGAGAGGAAAATTAAGTTTTAAACAAAAAAAACAAAGAATTATTTTTGGAATTGGAAATTAGATTAAAGATTCTCCAATTATAATGCTGATTCCTCCATGAAAATGCTACAAAATCAGCATACCGTGATGAAAACATGCTTCAAAAACATAATGAAAACAGTTTTATCATCAAAATCTTTATGCTATTATTAAGAGGAAGGATCAAAGTACATTTTTTTTAATATTTAATTAAATTTTTTACTCCTTTTTAAAACATTCGAAATTTTCAATAAAAGATTTGTTTTTCTTGCATCAGTAGTTGTACTAACTTTTTTTGTAGAGCAAATTTTAGCCTCTTTTTTGCTGTGACAGATACATTAACTTGGAAATTCTTGCAAAAATCAAATAATTCTCAGATTTTAATGAAAATTTCAGGAATTATTCACAAATGAGTGAAATTATATTTTTAGAAAATCTTGGTAAAAATATCTTTTTTTTTTTACATACTAACCACTAACTTAATTTACCAGCGCTAACTTAATTTTATGAAAACTTGAGAAATTCAACATGATGATTTTTAGTGGTGACTACATTAGTTGAAAGCAGAATTCTTTGAAGAATTTAAATTACTGATTATTTTTTTTTTCAAAATTGGACCCCATCTTACCAAAAATCTGTTCTGAATCAAAAAATAAAAAACGCAATAAAACAAAGACATTATTTAATTAGAGGAGCTTTTAATTGCTTTTATGAATAATATATATTAAAAACATTATTGTCTAAAGAAAAAAAAATTTTTATGAAATATGAATTTTTGCAAGATTTGTTTTCATTTTTTACAATTTTAGATGGAATAATTTGAAAATTTTTTAAATCTTTTAAAATTCATTTTCAATGAAATAACTCTTAGAAAATATTATTATGAATTAAAACTATATTTACTAATCATATATTGTAAAGCATATAAATATAGTCTGATGATCTTGAATATTTTTAAAAGAATTTTGATTTGTTTTTGTATGTGTGATATACATGCAGAATTTCAAAGTATGAAAATCCAAACTTTATAACATTAACATTAAAAATGGTCATGTGTTTTACAGGGAAAAAAACTCTCATATGAAATTTATTGTCAGCTCCATCATACTTAACTATAAACACTATTGAACTAAAAATTTGCTAATTTTTCTCAAATAACGTTTCAGAAATATATATTTTATTTTTCAAGATTTTTAAAACTGAGAATTAACTTTTGTTTACAAATGTGTCAAAATAGCTGCGTTTTATCAATTTTACTGAAAAAAATAGACTCTGACCAATATAATTTCTGTTTGAAATACACTACAGTGCTTAGTGGAAATGGTAAATTTTAAATCCTTTATCACTTTGTTCATTAAATTTCCCAAACCAACTGTAGGGTCTGAAAATAATGAATTTTAATCATTATAGGTATTGAAATCAAAATTGGGAATTGTATCAGAATCAGTAAATTTAGAAGAGTATCAGAAATTGTATCAGAATCAGTAAAAATTTTGGTATCATCACATCACTAATTTGTATTTCTTGTGTTCCTTTTTTATACTGTGATTTTCAACATTGTCCTCAGTAGAATTATATTTTTTAATAAATTCCAGCTGTTGTGTAAGTTCCACACATACAGTTAGAGACAAATTATTCAATTGTAATTGTTCCTATATCTTATACTAGCAGAAATAACCATCACTGACTGGGTTTGGAAGAGCTGTCAAAATTGTACTGTTTTTGAAAGATAATGATTAGAGAGTATTGAACATATAATAATAAATACCTTTTAACATTCATGTAGGTGATACAGCTATATCCATCCAGTAACACTATAGAAAGTACTGCCAGTTTTCATGTAGAACAAAGAAGTACTTCCTCCAGGCCAATATCATCATGGTTATAACCTTCTGGTCTGTGATCTCTATATTTTGGTCTATATATGAAGCAATCATCACATATATAACTAAACAAAATAAAAGATTGTGTTGAGGAAAACAATAAACATATGCATATTACAATATTTATTTAAGTATTCCAACAAACATCAACAAAAAAAAAATACCATTATAATAATGCTTATTTTCAGTATAATATATCCAGGTGCCTGGTTGCTGCATTCCATCAAGTATTTATTCTGAGTCTCCTCTCCTTTACTTCTGGAGATTCAGACGGTCTGGCAGCTGCAATCTTCTGAGTATCCATGCTATGTTTCCTTTCAGTTTCTTCTTGAGTTTCAGATTGTCTAGTTTCTGCATTCCATTGAGCATTTAATGTACATCTTCTGTCAGATTCTTCTTGATTTTCAGGCCAATGAGCTGCATGTCTTTCTGCATTTTCTCTCCTTCTCTTGCTCAGCTGATCTTCAGTTTCTTCTGCTCTTTCTCTTTTTCTCTGCTAGGATTGCTTAGGTGGTCCAAAATGGAACTTTTGGGGAGGAATTTTAGTAATGGTGTAGCCTAATCATTATTTGCAATAGTCAGCTGGCAGAACTGACTCCTGAAAGATATAGAGCTGTTTTGGTTTAGTAATTATAGGATAAATGATTTTATCAAGAATTCAAATAAATTGTAAAATTGCATATTAATGAAATTGCAGTTATTGTATAGGTTCAAGTGATGCCTCCTTAGTCCAAAAGAGACAAACTTTATGGAAAAACTGCACTAGGATCCATATATATATTCATTACATAAGATTTAAACAGTAGCTATTGTATAGGTTATAGGAAACTAAATTTGCAGTTTCAATCAAATGTCTGGATGCAAAAATGAATGTAAAAAGATGGTATGGTTTAAATTTCATTTAAATTCATGGAAACAATGGGTGGTGGGGATTATGCATCCCTGGAATCCTGCTTTAAATAAGTTAGATATATATAGTCTATGTCATTAGGTTTCATACATAGAATCTCTTTCAAATTTCACAAGAATGTATCCAATTGTTGTGTTGTTTAGATTTTTAGGGGGCTAAGATCCCCCATGCCACCCCTTCAGACTTTATATAAGTACTTTGGGAGTTGGATTCAAAATATATCAAGGTGACTAAAACATATAGCCCTATGGTACAAACCCCGTGATAATAGAGATTCAAATACTCAAATTGAGGACTTCCAGAATTTTCAATATGGGTGGAGGTTTAGCCCTCATTAGGGTGTCTTGATTGAAATTGGCTGATATTTTGGGAATAGGCATCATTTCAGGTCATTTGTCTGAATTTAAATTTCATATAAATCAAAAGGGAAAAAAAATTGAGGGTGTATGTGATTCCCCCCCACACACACACACACACTGGGACCTCCTTCGATCAAAATAATAAATATTGATACATAGCATATTACATACACTCTCATGCCGGAAATTTATGTTACAAATTTCATAAAAATCTGTCCAGTAGTTTTTGAATTAATAAGATACATTTATTTTCAGGGGGAGGGGTATGCCTCCTTTGCTTCCCTCAAAAGTAAATCAAACATGGCTCATTACACTCCCTTTTATGGCTACCATCTATGTTCCAAATTTAATGAAGATTGGTGAAGTAGTTTTTCTTTCTATAGACAGATAGACACAAAGACATACACACAGTCCATCTTTATTAATATAGATTTATGAAATGTATCAGCTATACCTTCAAACAACTGTAATTGAATCAATTCATCCTCAATAGCCAAATCTTGTATTCCAAGATTCTCAAATTTGCAGAATTTGCTAGCTTCTTTTCAACTGTGACTGTGAAGATATTATATTACATAATTGATTCATCTTGTTTCTGTTTAATGGACAAAAATTTGGTTCTTTCCACTATGACAAGTTTCTTTTTAGGTTGTAAACTTCTTTTTATAATTTCTGAAATTTTGATGAAAGTCAAATTTTCCAACTGGATATGCCATAACAGAAATTTTTATTATAACTTCACAACCTGCCAAAACTAGAAAGAGGTCAGTTATTTCATTTTCTCCCCCTCTTGCCAGATTGTCTTTCAGTTTTTTAGTCCTGGCCTAGGCTGCAAAACACCGGATCTAAGTCTCAACAAATTCTGGTTCATCCAAGCAACTTAAACATCCTATCAGTGATGCTATATTGTTGTGTTGTGTTGTGTTGTGTTGTGTTGTTCTACAACTCATGATCAGTACTTCAACTTCTTGCCTGTCTCTTAGTTTACTATACAATTTATATCTCTCCTGCTTAACATATGCAAATAGGTATAATCCTATTTACCAATCCACTACAGAAAGAAAGCTTTTTTCTTATTTTTTCAAAAAAATAAGAAAAACAAATTTTTAATGTATTGAAAAAAAATGAAAAAAAATAATCAAGATTAAAAGTTGTTTTGAATAAAACGGGAAAGACATTTTTCTATAAATGCTAAGATGGAACAGTTTCTTTTTGAAATATACAAATCTTAGCTTGAATTTTGCTTTAATTTGTAATGGAGTTGAATTTATGGTATTTATTTATTGTTTTTCTTTCACATTTTTAAGATATTAAAAAATGACTTATCTGATATGTAACTTATCTGTCATTCATTTAATCTAAAATAATTTCCATGATTTTTTAAACATTTTATATTTTCATGATTATGCATAGATCATTTTTTTTTGTTTCATTACATCTTCCTAGCTTCTGAATTTTTCCAAATGATGTAATGTTGACTGACTGCACAATTAGTAATTAATAGAGTAAACTACAAATTAATTCTTGAAATTTTCCTAATATTGTTCAATTAAACATTACTAGGAATTTTTTAATCTACTAAATATCAAGAATTGGATTAAGTCTAATCTAAGGAAAATCTTATAGAAAATTCTGCTATATATTGCTTGTTTTCTACCTATCAAAATAAAAAAATGTACTAATAAAAGATATCCAAAACTTGTAATAAACCTGCCTATATATAAACAAACAGAAAAAGACTGTCATAGATTGTTTCACACACACACACACACACACATACATATATATATATGCATCTACTTTTCCTTCATTTGGCTTAAGAAAGATTAAAGATTATTTGCAAATTGTGCCAGATATAAAATAAATAAATTCTGTTCAGGTAAAAATAGACAGAGCAGATGAATCACTTAGACTGTACATCTATGAATAATGAATAAAATGTATGTCTTCCAGACTATAAATCCATTGGTTATTCAAACTGTGTAGGTAAAGTGCAAGCCTTGTTGTAAAATTATTCCAGAATGTAGAATTCAGTTAGTAAACAATGCTCGAATTTGGATAATCATCAGATATCCCAGAGAATGACAAGTAGGCAGAACATGAAAGGACTGATATTAAAAAAAAATAAATTGCTATAAATCAGGTATATATCCAATATTCTATTCAATTCAAAAAATAAAAAATAGAAACTCTTTTTGATATAATGTTAATAATTATAGATTGGTAGATATTTGTGAAATCTCTTAAAGTTGAGAGAGTAAGTTATGTGGAAATATATAAAATTTATATATTCCCAGATAACTTACTCTCTCAACTTATATTATAAATGAATGTCTGAAGAAAATATTGGAGTAGGTAGCCTAATTCAGAGGTAAAAAAAATAAGCATAAAATAGAATTTAAATTTTTATATCCATAATCCTAAGAATCAATGCAAGATGTGAAATAAAAACCATTCACATTGATTAACTCCAAACATTAATTCTGCATTCCAAAGAGAATATCAGTACTACATCTAGTAAAAATGAATAAAAATAAAAAAATAAAAAGAAGAGTGTTGACTATTGTTCGGCTACACATTGTCACAATCATTGATAGGTCAATCAAACCGATGCGTTTTCCAAGACATTATTTATGAAATTTTTTTTTTCTTTTCATAATCTATTTCATAAAGTTAAACTTGTATAAATTATCTGAAATTTATTTCCCCTGGAGAGTTTTTTTTGGTTAATGAAGGCCTGTAGTGTAGCTGTACTACTGTACAGTTGTAGATTTCCTCTATGGATATCAAACACTACAAACGATCGTTGGGTGCTTATTTGAGCTCATTCTCATATACATACACCGTTTAACAACGTAGTAACAATTTGTATTTCAAAAATTTATAAAAATATTTTTCTTCTAAATAATTTAACGGTTTTTTTTTCTTGAATGTGGGTTATGCCTATGTTCATTGTTACTAGCATGGCGTCATGTTCAATTCATTTTTATTGTAGTTAAAAAAAATATTCGTTTATTTTTGTGTGGGGAGAGTAAACGTTTTTTTTTTATATAAAACAAAATATTTTAAAATAGTAAAAAACAATAGATTACATTCGTTCTAAATCTTAGAAATAGCGATTTTCTTTTAAATATTTTTATAATTGCTAATTTTTTTAGCAGATTTAGATTTTAGCTTTATAAATTTTGTATAAAAAATGTAAAACAAAAAGTAAAATCGAGAAAATGTCTGCACTGCCGTTTAAAAATGGCCGCCTTAAAAACGAAAATAAAATAAACAAGGTATTATTACTTATAAAAAAACAAAACAAACTCAAATACTATATTTTATGTTAAGGATAAACTTCGATTCATTGAATAAATTAAGTAAAGTTATTATGGATTATTTTTTTTATATAGTTGCAAGACCATTTTTTTTTTTTTTTAATATTTTGCAGTTTTTTTACTGGTACATGATCATGAAATCATAATCCTTTCATTCATTATTCTTTATTTATTTATGATTTCAATCATTTTAAAAATGTTCTTTTGTTTTGTTTAGTTTAGTTTAGTTTCATGTTGAAAAAACTACACACTTGAAAATTTAGTTATTAATTAAGGTTTCTTAATGACTATTTTATAATTAATTATTTAAAATGCATTATAAATAGAGTAAAGTAAATAAAAAAAATCTTTAGATTTTAGACAGATATATTAAAAAAAAAAAAAAATTACATTTAAAATATATTTTAAAATGTGTGAGGCCGCTTAGTGATAGCAAAGATCGATTTTGCAAATACCTAAGCGGCTAGCCAAAGGGACGTCGGAAGCATAACTTAGGTGTTGTTAAGGAGTTGCCAATCTGCGGGAAACCTAAACTGAATGTATTTAAATAATTATTGTACCATGATCATACATTTCTGCTTGATTTCATGCATCTATTTTAAGATTACCTCTACAACGGAATACCGACCCACTATACGGTAAGATCATTTTTCTGCTTTTTTGTTTATTATCCAGGATTGCAGTCAGTACAGTACATGATCGAATTAAATTCCTTGTTGGGATGAAGGGCTATTCCTTGTGTACTTGTTTGTGATCATTTTTCTACTCATAAGCAACCAGAAATGGAGATTTACGTTTTTAGAGCAACGAGAGTTTTGCTTTAATTTTATTTTATGCTAAGTAAAATACTTGGTTAGTAGTAGACTAACGAAAAACTGGCCTTATTTTTCAACTAAATAAAACTAAAAGTAAAAAAATATATATACCAAGGACGCACACCAGAAATAAATCAGAACACTGTTTTTTAGTGTTTTTCTGTTCACATAACAAAACTAAGAGTTACCCGGTGTCTGTACTTATTTAGTTAACTAAACAATCGAAATTTTTGGTCTCTTTACGATGCCTTTCTTGCCTGCAATGGGATTTTCAGTTTAAAATCGGCCAAAAATTCTCAATAGTTTTTTTTATTTATTAGTTCTGTTCCTTTTTTTTTCCATCTTGATGTATTTTTTTAATAATGGGTACTTTTACCCGACTGTTTATCGTATTTTTATTTATTACTTTTACTTTTTTTGTTTATCGTACTTTTATTTATTATATTTTATTTATTACCGATTGTTTATGCGATTTTGTACCTTTGGGATCTCATAAGTTTGAATTTAAAACCAATTTTTTTTTTTCGTTTATTTATTTATTTTTTTGTGGTAATCAGTGAATTATGAGCATTGTTCTTTTTCTTCTGATTATAAAAATATTTTTAATTGAAATAATTTGTTAGATTTGCACAAATTATCAGGAGAAAAACGTGTCCTGAGTTTTAGGCAATATTAAGTCAATTAATTTCAGAACAGAAATTGTGAATAATTCAATAGCAACACTAACAGTATTTTCATATTTTAGTAAATGTTTCCAATAAGAATCAGCAAATGTAATTGTAACTCTAGCGCTAGTCCGTTAGTCATCACGAAGGACTAACGGATTAACATTTCGTGTTAGGAAGAAGAACTAAAACACGAAATGTTGACATTTTTACTTTTCGTAGAACAGGTTAATCAAGAGTGGCAAATTTGAATGACTAGACTTGCGTTTTTAGTCAGTGTATGAGTTTTCATACTTTTGCTTTTATTCTTGTCTCCTACTTTTTAATAGAAAGTGCTATGTAGATAATTTACGTATTGAAAGGATTGTTTAAAAGTTTATTTGTCAGCTGTTAAGCCTTTTTTTATCAGTTCTATTTTACAGCAGATTATTAGTCACAAATTGAATCTCAATTGAAATTAAATTTTTGTAGAATCAATTTTTCTCCATTAACCGACTAGCTTTTTTTACAAATTTATTTCTTGACAAGCTTGTTAACAAAACAAAAAACTACTGGTTTAGTGATCCATTGTTAAAGTAGAAACTCTTGATTCGCAAAAAAACAAACAAAAAAAAGTTAAGCTTACACACAGAGCCTTATACCACACAACTTACCAGTTTATGATGAATTCAAATTTCAAATGAAGTATTTTTCATTCTATTTTCTCAAATACAAATTAAATCTCTAGCGTTTAAAAATATGAGAAAAACTTTTTTCCGATTTACTAAGCGTATCTTAGATGTGGCACAAGGCCGCGAGTATGGAGCACCGAATGAGGATCAAACTCATAATGGCTCTACCGAGACAAGCTTGCTAAACATTTATTGAAGTGCTCAAGAAAGACTTTTTATATATATGAAAAAGTCTGAAAAGAATTAGCTTATTTATCCAAATTCCAAATAATCCATATTAAAAAAAAAAAAAATTAAGCATCAATGCAATACCAAAAATAATCTTGGACCCATTTGTGAAGGAAATTAATTTATTGGAATTTAAATGCATTTATTTTAAACCAAAAAACGAACTCTCTATTCGTTACAAACGACTAATTTATTTTTTGACAAAGTTATATTCTTGTATAAAGAAAAAAAATGAAGTTTGTTACAAGTGTATTTATTTGGCAATTTTTTATGATTAATAATCACTAAATAAATTGATTTGAGTTTTTTCTTTCTTTTCTCTGCAAGTGCACGTAGACCTCAGAAAATATTTATTTTATTTTTATCATATGAAACATTTTAAAATAATATTTTAAAACAATTAAGATTAGGTTTGTCTAACACAGAATCACATCTTGAAAATCAGTATTCGGAATTCCTGGATAAATTAGGGATTTCGATCTTACATCCAGTTGAGAAATAATACACAACTTCCTCAGGCATTAGGAAAATGACATAAAATTGGAATCATTGTTCACATTTAAAATCTTTAACAAGCTTATTTTTCAGTTTGAAGAGGGGGAGAGAAGGGCACTAAAAGAATTCTAATTAATTCACATTTGTTTACAATAGAAAATTTGTAAGACAAACTTCGTTAATAAATTTTCAAGCACTAACAGTTATTTACTAATTTGCTAATAAAAGTAAACAGAAACTTAGCAAAATAAAAAAAAAAAGTAATCTGCTCTTGAGGGAGATAATTTTTTGTGTGTAATCATTTTAATTCATTTTAAAAATCGAGTCTTCTGTCTTAATTTCTTCTGTTACTGCAATAGCTGCTGATTAGTTTTTTTGTTTTTTAATAATTCATTGATTATTCAATATTTCAGCAAATGCAAAATTTGATTATGAATTACTATTTATAATTTACAGATTTTTATTTTGTCTTAAAGAAAGTCATTGTCCCACATGCACAGACATCAAAATTTGTAAATAAAAGTAAAAAAACGTTTTGTTTTAAAAATCTTCCAAATAAAACAAAAAAATGTAGGATTTCTAAAATGTTTAATGTTGTTATTAACCTTATGAAAGGATTTTTTTGTTGCTAAAAGTATATTTTCCAATCTTTTTTTTTTTTTATTTTAGTTTGGTGTAAAGCAAAATTATCAAATTTAAACAACATTGAAGTTGAACTGTATCTAAAAAAAGAAAAGCTTAATAAAAATGAATTAGAAATTAAAAAAGTTATTTTTTAGATGCCACCTTAATATTCATTTTCAGATCTAATTAGCTGTTCCTTTTTAAAGATTAGAAATTATTTAATTAGTTAAATAATTATTGTTCAAAAAAGAAATGTTATTTCATTCTGTTTATGTATCATCTGTAAAGTTTTTATTCATCTTATTTGTCATTGTTTCATTTTTTTATGTTTGATTTGAGTTAACAGAAAAATTTGATTATATCCTCTATAAGAATATAGAGAATATAATCAAATTTTTCTGTTAACAAAATTTTTCTGAGCAACAAAAAACATGTCTCTAATTTCAATGATTCCTTAATAAATTGACATGCAAGGGATAGCAGTATGTAAAGGTAATGGTAGGTGGTGCCACTGTATCTTGATTGTTTAGGGTGTAAACTCTAGTTGAATTATTACAGTTTGAACTGGGCAAGATAGTGGATACCAGACAGGTCTGCCTATGTGTCATGATCCCAGTTGTTAACAAGGTTGCATGCTGGTGGTGGTTCTATAATGGTGTGTGTTGTATTCACATAGCATGGGTTTGGGTCCTGGTGTAAATTATGTTGCACAACCTTGTGGCTATTTGCGTCCATTCATGAACTCCATGTACCCCAACAATAATAGATTATTCTAGCAGAATAATGCACCATGTCATTAAGCCCAAGTTGCCCAGGATTGATTTGAGGGTTATTCTGGAAATTTCTAATGATTGATGTGGCCATCATGTTCATCTAAAATGAGCCCAATCAAGCATTTATAGAACTTACTGGAGATATCTGTTTGCATTACATATATCAGGGAGTTGAGTAGAGCTATTGAGATACCATGACTCAACATCTCTCTAGAGGTCTTCCAACCATTTGGAATTGATGCTTTGTCAAATTGTTGCATTTTGCCAGGCTAGAAGTCCAACATCACACTATCCAATGACTTTTGGCGTGTCAGTGTATTGTAACTTATTGATTCCAGCAAATTGCTACCCTTTAAATTTAAATTAATACAAACAAATGGATTGAATATTGATTATATTTTTTCAATGCTATTTTAAAAACAATAATTTAGTATATGAAACTAATATAATATATATTTAGAAAGATAGAAATGTTGTTAGTTTTTTTTTGTTTTGTTACTATATTCACTCCAAAAACCATTATTAAATAGTAGATTTAAAGAACTATTGAATTTTAATGATTGACAATTGTAATCATTTCTTTTTATTTTCTCAAGGTGATGTTGCTTGTTGGTCAACTTTTCTCATCTTAACCTTGTCTTAAGTGATGCTGTTGCTGTTGATAATGTCAGTGTTCAACTTGATCACTTGGAACAGACCATAGATTGTTTTTGGACTATGTATGTTGATATCGGATAACTATTTGCTGCTGATCCTTGCCTGCAGGTTGACTGCTGTCACCAACAGCTAAACCAACATTATCAGGAATCTGGATTTTGCAACCTTTTTTTTTTCTTTTTCTTTTTTTTTAATCCCAACAAAGGCTGAACATTTTGGAAATTCAAGCTTTTGGAAATTTTTACCTGGACTCATTTTGTGGTGAAGGTTAGTCATTTCTTATATTCTTAGCTCACTCTCATGAGAAGTGTACATATATTGTGTGTCTTGTAATTATGTTTGTATATGCTAATTGATGTGTATGTTCATGAATACATATGGATGAATGTGCCAACTGTATTCATGTTTTATTCAATAAATTTGTTAATGCTTTCATTATTTTGGGTCACTAATGAAATAAACTGGTAAAGCTTATTTTTTTTCATTACTATAGCAAGATGTTAGTGAATTTGTATTTATATGTAATACTTCCTGAAAAAATGCACAGCTCTTTACAGTTTAGTAGATTTGTAGTTTGTGATTTGGGATCATCTCTATAGCATGATGACAAAATAGAATCACTTGAATGCACATTTCTTTTTGGAAAAGATATTAAAATTGATTTTCTTTCAAATGCTTAAAAAATATTCAATAATTAGTGTACATCGAGGCAGGGTTATAATTTCAATGCTTTCATGTTTTGTGTGTGATATAATGAACTCTGACAAAAAACTGTTTAAAATTATAGTTTAAAGAATTAAAATAATTTTCAAAACTTATAAAATGTATTTTGAGATTTTTTTGTTTTGGAACAATATAATGAAATAAAGATAAATGTACTGCAAAAATATAATTATTCGTTATTTAAAATATATGTAAACTAAACTGTTACACAAAAATGTTTTTAAAAAATGAGTTTTACAAAATAATTGCACATTTGTTGCATGAAACAAATTTGTTATAATAATAATATTGTTCATATAACATTTTGTTACATAAAAAGTAAATGAAATATTTACAGAAGTGAGAAAACTCCAAGGAAAAGCATGGTAATCTTCTGTAATACAAAATAACACAATAGCTAGCACATATGTGCTGGATATTGTTTTTGTTTGTGTGTGTTAGTTTTTATGGCATATGTAAATTCTACTGGCTTTGTAAATAGTTAAGTGAAGCACCAAAACCACCAGTGCATTTAGTAAACTCCGTCATCACCTCTGGAATGACAGGAGTATAAACCTAGGCACAAAGATCCAAGTATATTAAACTGCATTCTTACCACATGTATGGGTCAGAAGCTTGATATTTTCCACAAAGGGTGCCTCTGGGTAATCTGCATATATCCTTGAAGACAAAATATCAAATGTTACCTTTTCACTAAGGGAAAAATTAGAGGCATTAAGACTTTTCTTATGCAATCACAATAATTTGGGCTGAATGTGTCATCAGATGACAGGATATCTAAGGTCTTCATGTATAGTCAGCTTCAATCTGGAAAAAGAAAAATGGTAAGCCTTTTTTCAGGTTTAAAGACAAGCAATTTTATTTAAATGCTAACAGTCTTGTGGCCATCAATATTCCATATAAGAGTTTTGAGCAGGTGGCCTCAGATTGTAAGATGTGAAGAACTAGTTGCTTCTATGGTACCAGTAACTAAAAGAAGTAAGAGCAAAACGAAAGCAGCAGCAGCATCATCATCATTACCATCCACCTTGCCTCGAAATGCTCACTCTCGCACCATTTGTGGTCTTGTCTGCAAATAATGGGCAGGACTTAAATGTCATGTCAAGCATAAACACTTGAACTGATCAATGGAAGAATCCATCATGTGTGTGTGCTGAATATAACATCAATCATCTAAGTGACAAATTTTATGTTAATCCTATGTGTGCGTGTGTGTGTGTATGTATATATGTATGTATATAATTAATGTCTGATCAAATAAAGAACATTGCTTATTTTTAGCATAATCCTTTCAAATTCACAAATATTTTTTGTGTATTACAATTAAATGAAGCAAGAATAATAAGATATTTGTGAATATGAAAGGATTATGCTAAAAATAAGCAGACATAATGTTTATAATTTATTTAATCAGACATGCCTAAAAGAGAATTTGCTGCCTAAATACACAAATATATATATATATATATATATATATATATATATATATATATATATATATATATATATATATATATATATATACACACACACACACACCAGCTGAGTTCATTTCTACAAATGGAGCCAGGCAGAAACATCCATTGTACTTCTTGTCTCTAATTTTTTCGGTATTTCAGTTTATTATAAAATGCTTATTGTAAAAAGTAATAATAATTCAGGTGATTCTATTTATATACTGGAATGTGGCTTAAAAAATGTTTACTTTGTTTACAATGTGTAGTGTATATTTATTTTGCTTGATAATTTTTGTGTGTGTGGAGGGGTGTAATATGTGAAAGAATGTTAGTGTTTCATTTAAAGGATGCTAAATACTTCTTGAATTGACCATTTCTGGACTGCTTTACGTCAGTTAAGTTTGAATGTACAAAGAAGTGTACATAGTGAATTTCCTACTTCTAAGAATTATTTTCAACTTGGAAAAACTGAATTTCATTAATTACTTTATTAAAAAAAACTAACAAATTTTTTAACTTCTTGTATATGTAATAGTTTTGCTATCTTTCTTTTTTTTCTTGAATGATTAAAAAATATATTTCCTCTCTGCAAAAGGCTGCATTATTTGTGTATTTTGTGTTATAAAATAAATGTTAGCTCATGGCTAAACCATATAGAAATAATAGTTCTTAACAGATAGGGAAGGCTAAACGGTGTCCAGTCATAATTAGTTTAATGGTTAATCATTGGAGAATATTAGTTTGATACATAATAAAAGTATTCTTCAGAGCTATCAATCTTACCCTGACATAATAGGTTAAAGATATATTCTATAATTCTGATAGGATAAATCATCATTGCAAGAACTGTTTTACTGTTTCTTATTCTTTTCATTGTTGCCACATTGTTTTGATTGATGCTTTTTTTTTAAACTTCTCTTAGGTCTACAAGGTGGGGGCATCTTTTTTCTTTTTCTTTTTTTTTCTTTTTTTTTCTTTTTTTTTTTTCTTTTTTTTTTTTTTATTGCTGGAGGAGAAGTTGTATACCTAAGCTTTGTAGAAAACTGCATGAAAACTCAATGTGAATTTCTTTGCTTAGCAAGATAGATTGGGTTTATACAATCAGCACATTTTCCATTATATTTTTTTTATGTTTGGCAGACATAACCTGAAAAAAGTGACAACACCCCTGCTCCAATTTACCTATTTCCATATACAGTCATATGAAAAAAGTTAAGATACCCCATAGAAAGTATTGTCTTTTTCAACATATGGACATTTGATCTTCATTTTAACATTATTGATAGAGCTAATATAATTAAATATATAAAATTGAAAAAAAAAGATTTAAAAATTTTTTGGGTGCCTTCATTAGCAGAAATTCTATTTTCTTGTGAGTAAAAAAAGTTAGTATACCTTCATGTATTGCTACTTAAAATGCTTTAAAGTCGAATCAGATACATCAAATGCAAATGATTATAACATCATTAGATAGGATTTTGAAAAGATCTTGTCTTATTTAAACCTCAGACTTTTTAATTTAGTTTGCTCTAAATTGTTGGAGTAGTATGATTATGGTAAAATCAAGAGCTCTCTGAAGCCTTCAAAAAGAAGGTAGTAGATGCATATGAATCTAGGAAGGGATTTAAAAAGATTTCCAAACAATTAGGAATCAGTCATTCCATTGTCCAGACAATTTACAAGTGGAAGACATTTAAAACAACTGCCAGTGTGCCCAGATAAGGATGTTCTAAGAACCTCAGACTAAAAGCAGACTGCAAGATGCTTAAAGAACATCACAGACTGACAGGTAGCTCTTACTACAGTTGATATAAAAATGCATGCATCTAGTACTAAAGAAACTGCACAAGTTTGATTTGCATGGGAAAAATCCTTCAAGAAAAAAAAAGACACATCAAGACTAAAGTTTGCCAGAGAACACACAGAAAGACCAAGACTTCTGGAACAGTGTACACTGGATTCATCTGTCTAAAGCACACAAGTGTTATTTATGTGCAAATAATTCTATTTTGGATTAATCTATCCAAACTAGAATTATTTGTACACAGTAACAGAAGTTTAGCATAAAGTAAAGACAGCATTTGTGCAGAAGAACTTCGTACTAACTGGGAAGCATGAGAGTGGAATTGTTATATTTTGGAACTGGTCAGCTCACCATCATAGAATCCACCATGAAAATTTAATTCCATCTGTTAGAGAATTGAAGCATATGTCAACCATACAACATGAAATGGCCCAAAGCATTCCAGTAAATCTGCCAAGGATTGGTTCAAAAGAAAAAAGTTTGGAGCTCTGGAATAGCCAAGTCAAAGCTCAGATTTTGTTGAGGTACCGTGAAGTGATTTGAAATGGGTTGTGCATACAAGACATCCTTAAATCATCACAGAACTGAAAGAATTCTGCATGAAAGAGTAGGATAAACTTTCTTCTAACTGATGACTTTTAGACAGTTACAAGAAACATCTAATTGAAATCATTTCAGTTAAATGATGGTGTCCTAAATTTTTCCTCAGCATGAATTGGTATTTTTGTCTATTCTTCTTTGTTAAATAAATATTTCCATTTTCTTTTCTTTTTTTTATTTCTTTTTCCATTACATCACTTCTATTTAAAGAAAAAAGATTAAATATTGATATCTCCATATTTCTTTAAAATAGCTACATATTTCTTGGGGTGTCCTAACTTTTTGCATGACTGAAGATTGTATCTGAGGAAGATCAAAGAACAGATCTACCAAAATGTGGCCACAACAAAAAGAATGAAACCAGTAGTCTGAACAACCCTTGGAATAGATTAGTTTAAATCTGCATGACAGCTTGTTTCATTGGAAATAAAATCATGTTGTGTTATTTAAAGTGATAGAAACTTCACATAAAATGTTAAACTAAGTTTGGGCAACCTTTTTTTATGAAGTGGGCTGCATGAGATATGGCTCATCATAAAAAACATTAAAGGTTAATTTTTTGTTGATGGTACCTCACTACAGAAGACCATATATGTAAACATCTGCCTTAAAAATGGGCAAAAGTTTCTCTCTCTCTTTATAGAAAACATTTTTTCTAAATTAAAGAAATGGAAGTTTTTGTATGATTAACACACACTGCTGCATGTGATTTGTTTCTGTTTTATTCATTTTAGTATATGTTAAATATTTTTAAAAGTAAAAATATATTCCTTCTACAGAGAAAAAAAATTATGAATGTTAGTGAAAATTGTCAGTTTAAAATGCTGAAAACATTACCTTTTAACAAAAGGTTACAAAATTCAAGAAATACAGAAATTGAAAAAGTAATAACTTATATGAAAGATTAATTTTATGTATTTTTCTGTTCTGTAATGAAGATTTGATGAATATATATTTATTTGCAATTTATAGTGAATTAAGATCTGTGTTTATTGATAATGTAACTTTAAGAAAATTAAAAGTTCTAAAAACTGAAACAGCTTGTTTAATCAGCAAGATAAAATGGAACTTTTTTTTCTAATTGATTTTTCTAATTGCTAAACATGATAATCCTTCGTTTCTGAATTAGAATTCTGTTCTGATCTAAAACTGATTGTTTGAAGTTGTCATTGTAACATCAAAATGAAGTAAAAAAAAAAATTTCCCCCCATTAAGTTTTGCTTAATACCAACTTTCTGGTTAAGTTCCCTTCATGTATTATGGAAAAATTCCCATTAAAAATTAATTCTTTGTTTTTTAAATTGCTAATTATTGAAAGATTTTAAAGTAGTGATTTGGTTAATAGAAATATTCAGGATTAACTAATGGAGTTTTTTAGACTTATGTTTACATATCTAAAGAACATGATTACAACATTCCTGGGATTTGAATGTTTATAAACTATATATATCTCCTAAACTTAGCTTCATCTGGTGCAAGACCATTGTTACAAGATATTCTGTAAGGACTGAACTCCCTAAAAATGACCTGCAAGATCAACATGTTAACTATGGCTCTACAACAGGTATCATTTTACTAAGCTTTAAACTAGTATGGTGACGCCCACTAAAGATTGATTTCACTGTATTAGTATTCAAATAGTTTGCAAATCATTGCTTTAGAGCAAGTGTCTATAAAGATCTTTACTATACTCAATATGACACAAGACCACAATCACGGGGCATCCAATAAAAATCAGAATTACATTTCTATTGAATGATCTGTAAGACTATCTTGCTAGCTATTACTTAATATAATTATAAAATATATCAAACCTATATACATATTTTTTAACATTTATATTTTAGGCAGTGCACAAAATGTAGTTCAGCAAAAAATAAAACAAAAATGCAAGACTATCTTAATGATGATAGCTATTACATAATGACTTTGCAAAAGCTTAAGTCTTATTGCCCAGAGTAAGCATTAAGTTTGTCTGCAGCTTAATTTGTTTTATGGTACATGAGAACATTAATATTTGAATAGTAAGTTAACTTTTTATTTCAATGGAAAAAAGACATTTCGATCAGTTTGTAATTACATGTTTCAGTTAACCCTTAAAAAAGTGTTTAACCATTTTTAAAGTTTTTATAATATTTATAATTTTTTAATTGTACCTATGATAAATATTTTAATTTATATATGAGTTTGACAGTCCAGTGAATAGTTTTATAATTCTCAACTGAAAATTAATTAAAAATGGATAGTCACCTTCTGTGACTATCCATTTTTAATTAATTTTCAATTCATGCTGGCTCTTGCATATATTTCTATGTACATTTTTAAAACTAATGTAAGCCAGTAGCTAATAAGATTTTAGGATTATAAATTATCATAGGATTATTATTTTTAACTGAGTAAATAATAAAAGTGTAGTTCATTATTAGGAGATAATTCTCTAACAGATTTTCATTCCTATTTTTTGTCACTCGTCTCTAATTGTTTAATTGATGTACAGAATTCTCTTTCATTAAAACAAAACCTTTTGTAATTAAATCTAACATTAACTTTAAATGTAAGCTTTCATGATAAAGTGATTAAATGAGTGAAAAAATTGATTGGGTAATGTTAAGGTTTCTAACAATTGATATAAAAGATTTAGAAAAGTGTTCAGAGGTTCTATGTTATTCAAACAATATGCAATCTATATGAATTATTATGAATTTATTTGTCAACAATAGCTAACTGTTATGAATTTATTTGTCAACAATAGCTAACTTCTCTTGCCTTTTTAGACTTCAGCATATTTTACGAAAAAATAGTGACTTTAAAAATAGCATCAAATAGCTGAGTTAGCAGCTGAGATATATATATATATATATAAAGATTGGACAGCAATCATTCTTAGATGTTTCATTGAATGTAACAGATATTGAGTTTTCCTACTGTCCTTACAGTTTAGAACTAACTGTCCATACTAAATTTTTTTTTATGATTTATTATTAGAAAAACTGAATAAAAAAAAAAATGAAAAAGATTTTCCTTGTGCATCACATTCAATGAAACATAATTGTTGCTTCATATCACAAACAAAGATTTGGGAAGGTTGTTGCTTAATTCTGATGCAAAAACACTGGACAGCCTTCATGTTTGTGCTAATGAAGTTTTATATGAGATGCAGTGTGTGTGTGATTAATGAATATTAAAACATAAGAAACTTGTAAATTAGTTTTAATAAACAAAAAATCAATGTTGCATAAAAATTTTGGAATCAAAAATATCTTGAAGTTATTTAGTATTAAATATACATGTTTATAACTTCTTAATCTGATATTTTAATAATTAAAATGTACTTCTATTTCTCTAATTGATCTTTGTATTTGTATTAAAGAATATTTTCTGCTTTATTTCAGGAAAATGAGCAAATTTTCCATTGTTAGATCTAGTTTGAATTTGCAACCATATATTTATGTTAGCAATTTGACTAAATTACTTCCATTTCTTACCAAAATCATTATTTTCAATACATGCAATATAAAGATTTAAAAAATAACATTCATCATATTAAATCATCTTGTAGGTATTTGCATGTATGTATATATGCATCTGATTTAAGACATTAGCAGTTAATATTTTTGTTTTGTTTTTGTTTGTCGTCCCCAGATGGCATCAGAATATTGCCGGCAAATACTCCGTGTTGTTGTGGCCCAAATCTGCCAACACCTGGGTTGGCACTCCACACATGCTACACCTCTTGAAGTCCTTACAGATGTGCTGGAGCGATACATACTTGATGTTAGCCGAACAACACATCAGTATGCTGAAAGATGTAGGTTTTATTAAAGCTTTTATAAATACTTTTTTCTTTTCTTTTTACTACCTATGCATATTCAGTTTCAACTAGGGTTTTAAGAGGCTAGCAAAGGCTTTTTATATGAACAAATTATAATCTGTTTTCACAAAACATATATGTGTGTGTGTGTGTGTGGTCAATAGTAATATTTTAAACATGTTCATTTTTTATGATTTCATTTTAAATATCAGTATAATTAGTTATAATTGCAAAATTAGTTTTTGAAGGTATATGAAATTCCTTTAAGAACTACTCTTGTATGTTTTAAATATCACTTATATAGTTTAATTTTATTATATGCAAGAAGTATTAAAAGTTTAAGCAGTTTATAGGAATATTAATTTTGGTATTAGAAGAAAATAGCATCACTATTGATATATATAATAGACATGTTCTGCAGAGAAATTTTTGTACAAGTTGAAATAATTTAAAAACAATTTGTTTCTAACATAAAAAATGAGTTGTTGTATAATAAGATTCATACTTTGAAAACATTTCCCCATTTTGTTCCTTTTTTTTTTTTAATATTTTAATATAAATATACAAATAGGCAAGAGTTTGCATTCTCTTAAGTTATAACCCAGAGTCCAGCTTGGTTCTAGTTAAACAAGAATCTTAAACTTTTTCTGCACAAATATGAAATCAGATACAAATAATTTTCAAAAAAAGAAGTTTGAAGTTTGTTTGTTTTTTTTAAATCCATTCAGATCATTTTCTTTGTTTCCCAAAGTCTAATAATCTTAATATTCATATAAAACATCCCATTGCTTTCAGTTAGCTTGCATGTTGTTAATGTTTTTTTATATGGATGTTTTGGTGATTATAAATTGCTATTTTGTAATAAAGCATTCGACATATTTTCACAATGAATGTCAAATTATGGCTATACTCTACACTTTGTATATTTTTATTTAAATGTCTTCTTTTAATTATGACCAGCAAAAATTATTTATTTTAAGTGGTCAGATTACAAATGCCTGTGCATGTGTTTCAAGGGGCTTCTGGTGTTATTGCTTTATGTTGTAATTTTTTAAATAACTGTAGCTAGTTGTATTTGCTTTGTTTTTTATTTTACATTATTGTATTTTTTTTAAGCATTGTCTTTCTATTTTCTTTCAATTACAGCACTTATTTCTATTCAACTTAGTTTTCTGAAGTAAAATTGATTTCATCTACATAGCAATATCCATACATTTGTATGTTTAGCGAAAATAATCCAAGCTGTTGGTAAAACTTCCAAGCACAACCTTACCCACACTAAGCCTTAAAAAAACCCCAAAGAAAATGAAAAAAAATCACAAAATGAAAGTGCAAACAAAAAGATTGACACCTAATGATGCAAAAACTAAGTGGTCAGATGCATCTAAAAATTATACTAAGATGGAGCAGTAATACTAAAAAACCAAGCAGTAACAGTACTCAGGGAGTCGGGTTCAAATCGTTAATGTGAGTTTCACACTAAGCAATTATCAGATGATGATCATTTAGCATGAAACTCTGTAACAATTTGGATCTGAGTGCTGTTTGGTATGTATATGTTTAACATTGTGAACCCAAATTATAAGTTTTTCAGTTCTTAATTATCTGTAGAATGTCTCATATTATAAAACTGATTTTTATTATTATATACATTTAATACATAAAATATTTTTATAAATAATAAAGATAAATTGTTTTCTCTTTTCGCCTTTACACTTTTATATCCTTTTAGTATTTTGTTGCTGCTTTTGTTTTGTCAAGGAATACTTTTTTTTGAAAAAATACTTACATCATTTAGCCTGTATACATAGAGAAAATGATGCTTTACATTCTTAATCATATAAATGCAGATTACTAAATCTGATTAAATTGGTTATAAAAAAAATTGAAACGTTTTGTTTTTAAATTTATATAAAATTTGAGGCTATGTTGTTTTTTTTTTTTTTTTTTTTTTTTTTAAGAGCATTTTGTAATGTGTTTTTTATTTATTATTTGTTTATTTATTATCTAGATGGAAGAACTGAAGTAAACTTGGATGATTTAGGCTTAGCCTTTCGTACTTTGGGTATTAGCTTATCAGAACTGGATGATTATATTAAACATGTTGAGGCTTTGCCCTTTGGAAAAGATGTAGCTGCATTTCCTAAACCAAAGAAGTCAAATCTCTGTTTCCCAAACCCAAAGAGTCGAGAAATCTATCATCGAGAAGAACATGTGTCTGACTACTTGCCATACATGTTTCCTGGAATGGAAGGTAGGCTGTGAGAACCTTTCAAAATAGTATAGAAATATCCTTGGAATTAATTAAATAAATAGATATTGGCAAAAAATATATTTGTTTAAAGATTGAAAAAAAAATATTTTCATTTTTAAAATTTTTAGCCTGAATTTCTGTTAAAAGTTTTGAAATCAAATTAGCATAAAATGTTTCTATGATAAGACAAAATAAAAATATGATAATCAGATACTTATGCTGAATTGTTTTTAATGTCTGCAGTTATTATTGGGCTACTTATTCATTTTCACTCTTCTTTTATAGTCCTGCTGATGTCTGAACACTATTTTCTTTTTAATTAAATGGATATACAAGCATCTCAGTTATAGTAGCTAGAGATAATGCATAGACATTAAAGAGAATTGTGTTTAGAAACATTCAAATTACTCATAAATTTGACTCTTGTGTGCACAAAGTTGTTTTTTTTTTCTTTTTTGCTAAAGTAGTACCTTGTAATAATTAAAGTAAAAAAACTTTCGCCATTCCAATTTTTTTTTTTTTTTTTTTTTTAAGTACTGTACCATAAGTTTGTTGATACTATCTAGAGAAATTATAAATACTATAAAAAAAAAAATTAAGATACAAGTACCGCACTGCTGACGTTTTCTTTTTTATTGCACGCACGATACTTCCGGTCTTCCGTAGATTTCATTGGTAAAAATTATTGACACAAATTAATTTTTTTAATATACGTGCGCTTGTTAGTTTGTAATAAGTTTTGGAAATTATAATCTGTAAATATATATCTACTTAATAACAACATTCGTTAAGTTCTACAAACTTTTCCCTGATTTTAGATGAATTAGCAACATAATGTAAAAATAAAAAAAATATTTCATAAATAACAAATAATTGTTTTAAAAATTCATTTTTCATCGAAATATCTTTTCGCTTTCAGACAATATTGTCCATGTTCATTGAAATAAATAAAAGCTATTAAAAGCTTTTGAAATTAAATAATATTTTTGTTTTATCGAGTTTTGTATGTTACACTTCAGAGACGATTTTCAGATAGGGGTGGTCCAACTAAAAAAAAACAAAAACATGATTTGGTTTCCTCAAAGCATTGTGCTTTTAACTAATATAATCATTAATCTCCTCGAAATTGAAATTATAGAGTTTTCGTACAATTAGTTAGAGGGGGTAATACATATGAAAAAAAAAAAAATTCTGCCATGACTTTACTAAAAATAAAAGATATTTATAATAAGTTCCATCATTTGTGAATAGTTTCTGAAAGTTTCATTAAAATCCGACAATTATTTTTATTTTTGCAAGATTTTCCAAATTAATGTGTGAGATACAGGAAAAAAACGTGCTAAAATTTTGTTATTTTATTTGTTCGTTGGATACAAAGAGAAACAAGGTTTTTTTAATCAAAATTTAAAATGTTCTAAAAAGAAGGAAAAATTTTAAAAAATAATTAAAAAATACTTGATCTTTCCTTTCAATAATAACATAAGCATTTAGACACTAAAATTTTGTTTTCATCATGCTATCTTCTGTTTTTAGCGATCTCATGAAAGTGCCTATTCTAATGGTATAGTGTTTTATTTGTGTGTGTGATTTTTTTTTTATAAGAGAAACAACTGTTTCCAGTTAGATAATATAATTACAGCATAAAGAAGAAAATTGAAAATTAAGTATAAATTAATGAAGACTAACAAAAATTATAAGATGTTTATGAAGATATAAGCATTAGAACAGTTAATTGAAAAATGTCCTTTAAGAATTTATTAAGTATTTTCTGTGTGCTTTTTGCATCAGATGAAATGGAAGTAGAAGAAGTTTCCCCAACACCCTCTGTCCCTGCTGCTTCTCAGCCTGGCAGCACAACTCCAGTGACAGTACCAAATAATCAAGAAATAGGAACTCCAGAAAATTTGGCTGATACTAGCCCAGTTTTAAGAGGAGAAAAGAGGTCATTGAACAGTCCTAGTGATGGAGCACCTATGTATAAAAGACAAAGGTAAAACTTTTATATGTAACATTTTTTTTTCTTATTTTGATTTTAAAAGTTGATAATTTTGAAAATATTTAATATCTGTACAGGAAATTTTATTCTTACAGCAGGAAAAAAAAGTTAAAATTTTTCTCTTTACTTTTAATTCAATTTCTTTTTTTATGTTAATGCATTGAAAGTTCCTAGCATATCTACAAAGTTATGAATCATCTAGATTTGTCTCTTTAATATTAAATTGCTTATTTTGAATTTATTTTGTCAATGTTATATAAGTTTTGAAACTATAAGAAATACATGTAAATCTTATAAAGCTATTCAAGCTATGCTAATTGTAGATACTCATAGAGTTTACTGATACACGTGTATAGAGTGAATAGTTTGGATGCGGTTATGTATAAAATTGGTTTTGTATAACATTCATGGTTTGTTGTCTGATTTACATACGTGTCGATCTAGATTCAATTAAATTAAGATTAATGATAAAATTTGCATATGTCGGTACATATTTTTTTTGAAATACAAATAAGAATTTACATTAAACAGATTTTATGTAACATTTTAGGCAATCAACCATATTGGTATTTATTTAAACACAGAAGTAGATGTAGGAATATTGAGTTTTAACTATTTACAAAATTTGAAAGTGTATATCAAAAGGAATCAAGATCAAAAGAACTAAGTAATAGCAATTATATACACAAAATATTTGAGATTTCAAACAAGTTCTAGATATGTGAATGTTTTTAAATGATTAAACATTATCAAAAATTAGATGTTTGCTAAGGATATTTCATACATATTTTATAATGGAAAAATGTACTTTTGCTGATGTTAAGAATAGTCATTAGTAACTGTGTAGATGTCAAACATGTAGATTAAAGTTCCAAGATTCCATTGTGTACCATTTTTGAACTGAGAATCATTTCATTAATTTTGATTTCAAATTTAACAAATTTTGTTTACAATTTTGATTTGCATATCCAGGGAAAATCACCCCCCGCCCAAGTAAAATGCTTATTTTTAATTGAAAACTGAGAATTTTACTAAATAAGCTATGCATGTTTAAGTGTATCATCTGAAATGAAAATTATTATTTCTAAACAGTGAGTCACATTTCCACTAGATCAGTATTTCCTGTTCATGATTACTTGAAATGAACTGAGGTTGCACTGAAGATTAAACATGTATTATTTCAATTCAAATCACAGCAACAAAAATATATTTATCAGATTACATGTACTGTGGGAAATCTTTTAAAGCTGATTTAATGTTACTTGAGGTTCTCAGGATTTTGAATACTAAAATACACTTGATTAGATAGTTTAACCAGAACTTTTTGTGTTATCCAAATAACTTATTACACATATCATTTGTTGAATTCTTACATTTTTACTTTTTGTAAATTATTGCAAGTTAAATAAGCTGATGAAAATTTAATTATCTATTGATACATATAATTGTTGAATTATAAATAAGAAAAAATACTCAAATTTGTTAAATTTCTCTTCAATTTCAGGTTAAGCAATAATAATCTGCCAGAAGAAGCTGGACACTCTCAGTATGAAATGACCAGTGTGAAAATGTCAGTATCTGGGCTTCTGACACCTATCAAAAGTCAAGGAAAATTACCAGATCCATCTCCACCTGTAATGTTTCCTCCTGTTGAGAAAAAGAAGGAACTTCCTCCAAAAGATATTCCTAAAAAAACAGAACCTGAGAAAGATACCAATACATCCAAGATTGAAGATAAGGAGAATATTACAACCAAAAAACCCAAAGAAAATGATATAAGTAAAAAGAATATTCCAATAAAAAGTTCAGGTAAAATAGTTTCTAAGAGTAGTGCCAGCTCTACATGTGGTAAACCACTAAAGAAAAATTCAATTGTTAAGGCAAAGATTACAAAAATAGTAAAAAAAGGAAATATAAAAGGTGCTGTATCAGTTAAAGCTGCCAAATCCAAAGTTATATCAAAAAGCACATCAAAGGTTCCTGCAGTAAAAGCACAAGTCATGAAAAGTACAACCAAACCCTCAAGTTTAGAAAATGTCAAAGCCTCTTCTGATGCATCAGGACCAGAAAGTCGTTTAAAAGAACTCCTCCTTGACTCCAAAGTTGAAAAGACAAAAGAAACAAAAATAGAAAAAAAAATGGAAACACAAAGCCCATTGTCTAAAAAACCTGTGGAAATAGAAGTAAAACCTTGGAGTAATTTAGCAATGTCAGTAAATCCTGGGATTCTGCCAAAGAACTTAAGTCTCGTGCCAGACAATGATAGCTCATCTTCAGATGAATCACCAGAACCACGACTTGTTATTGCAGAATCTGATCCCAAACCTAAGGAAAAAAAATCATCAGAAATAATTCGAGAACAGACTAGTAAATATGACAGTATTATCTCATCAGCAATCAAGAGGGCAGGCATGATGAACTCAAAAAACAAAGAGTTGACTCCTGTACTACCACCTCCTCCTCCTCCTCCTAAAGAAAGGAAGAAACCAGTTGCACGTAAAAAGAAAAAAGATCAAATTGCAAAGGTGGAAAAGAGCACATTGGAGACTATTGATGAGTGCATCAATTCTGTCCTGCGTAATATGCGTGCTGCTTATGAATTAGAGAAACAGAAAGAGCAGCAAGAAGCCATAGCTCGTGACACCATTGCAGAAGATGCAATGGTAGCAGCAACCACTGCTGCTGTTGTATCTGCTGCAGTGACAGATACTGTGGTTATTTCAAGCATATTTACCCCTACCAAACCTAGTCTAGCTAGTACTCCAACTCCAAAAAAGACAGACAAGAAGGGAGATAAGAAACTTGATAAGAAATTAGAGAAAAAGAAACGGAATTTGATGAAAGAGAAGACAAAAAAATTGAAAATTAAAGCCCTAAAGCAAAAGGGCAAAGAGAATGCTGAGGTAAGGGAGAAGCTTAAGGAGAAAATTAAATCAAAGTCTCAACGTCAGAACTCATCCAGTTCAGAGAAGACACCGCCTGTTCGTCCGGATAAGTTCACGGCTGAAGAATGGAAAATTTATGATTTTGATGGCAGTCCTCCTGGATCTCATCCCAATTCCCTACATCAGCATGATTCCTCTCCTTTCAGTTCATCCCCTCATTCTATTAGATCTTGTGTTTCCCCATCCATGGATTCTCTCACTCTTTTATCCACTGCTGCCAGTGCTGCCTCAAATGTCCCTATGCATTTACCACCCTCCATGCCACTCTCCCTACCTCAAGCATCCTTGTCTTCTCAAGATTCAGATATCCCATCTCAACTCAAAATGAAAATTGGTCTTGCAAAAGGAGGAAAAGGAAAAATAAAATCTAAAGTAAAGTCTAAGGTAAATATGAATTTAATACAGTTTAACACAACTTTTGAATTTATCAGATTTAACTCATTTTTCTGGGATATTGAGCAGTTGTTCAATGTATATGCAGTCTGCAAAAATCTGTAAATTTTAATTTTTTATTCTTATTTATTTACATTCTATTACTTGATTAATTAATTACCTTAATAAACTTTCTTAGAGTACATTTTTGTAAGAAGTAAAAGAATCTTGCAAGATTCACAAGTTGGGAAGCAGCGTTAAATAATGAACTTGACTATAAATTATTCATATTAAATCTATCAGAACTTATCCATGATTGTGTTCCAAGTTTTCCATATATGTCATTCTTGCCAAAATTATATTTTAAAAATAATTACAAAAAGGACAACTCATCACAAACTGTTATGAAACTGTTATAGTCACACTATAGTTTAGTTTTAAGCATGTGTTCTGTATGTAAAGGAAACTCTTAAGAAATCTTATTTGTAAAATTCTATTTACTGAGAGAATTTTGAATAATGAAATAAAAATGAAAGAAATCATGAAATATCAACCTTCAAAAGTTGCAAATAAGCTTATTCTCTGAAAATATTTTTGTCAAGTGAACATTTAAAAAAAACTTTGAAATTTTAAATATTTTATAGATTTGAAAAATTTTAGAAAGTGCAATTTGTTTCTTGCAAATTATATATTTTAAAAGTAAATATATTTTTTGACATTTTTCCCTTGTAGGATAAAGAGCACAAAAAAGACAAAAAGGATAAGAAGAAAGATAAAGAAAAGAAAAAAAAGAATAAGGAGAAGGAAGAAAAGAAGCAAAAAGAACGATTGAAGGAAGAAAAATATCAGGTAAGCTGATTATAAATACTTTCTTTTCTTTACCTTCAACTTTTATCTCTGTGTTGCCTTTTGGCTAGATGTTATAGAGTTACTAAACAGGAACTGTCATATGCACAAATATGCTGGTAATTGAATAATTAAATATTTCTTTCTTTCATTGTCTGTTTGACCACCCAGACTGGAACAGAGGAGTGTTTTAGCCATACAAACTCAGAAAGATACTTCCTCTTTAAATGATGCCAGCTTATCAAAAAGACAAGATATTTGACCAAATAGATTGACATCAAATGCATGTGGAGGTGTGATCTCTGTGATATTTTATTCATTCAATTCAATAATTATAAACGTTTCTTTTTTCTAGATGTACTATTATTATTTTTTTATTATTCATTCCTGCTTGAGATTTTGATGTAATTCTATATCTTACAATTTTTTTTGTAATAATTTGTTCCTGTTATTTATTTAAAATATTTATTCACACAGACATAGCTGCATTTAATGCATTTGCTATCTAACTGGTTAGTCTTTGGTGGCTGTCGATTCTTTTAAAAAGATTTGTTTTTTTTTTTTTTTTTTTTTTTTTTTTATCTACCTTGAAAGAAGAAGAAAATAATTGTAACTTTGTTCCTCAACCTGGATGTAACAGGATAAGTAAATATTTCTTTCTTTCATTGTCTGTTTGACCTCCCAAACCTACTTGGGAAGGAATGGGGGAGAGTTTTAACGATAAAAAATCAAAAAGATACTTCCTTTTTTAACCAAATAGATTAACCATTTTACATATGCCAAATATTTTAAGATTAAATTGGTTTACTTTTTACCATTGCTTGATTTTACTTTGATAGAAAAAAACTTAGTATAAGGTATAGCTTAAAATAATATATTAAAAACTATTTGAAGTTAATCCTATTTAATTTCCCTCACTAGTTTTATTTTTTTTTGTACTGAAATAAATGTGAAATTTAACTGATTTTTTCAGTTTACAAAAAAATTGAAATAACAAAAAAATTGTTCAAAAAATCACTACTGAGTTAAATCCAAAGAAACACATGAAAAAGATTTTCATGTTTTAAAACTAAAAACAAAATTGCAAAGAAAAAAGATGTTGTCTAAATTTAATTTAGTTTTAGGAGATAAATGTGAAACCTATTTTTTAAAAAAAATGAAGAAGAAAAAAAAAATACGAATAAAAATGTTTTCAAACAGAAAAAAAATATGATATGTTGAAATCTATTTGTTTCAGTTTTAAAAAAAAATTTTTAAAAATAGCGAGTAAAATTAAAAAAAATAGTTGCCAGTTTCATTTTTTTATAAGTCAAATTTTTGTAAAAATTGTTTTCTAGTAAGCCAGTAGTACAGCAATCACAAAATAAAGTTGTTGTAAACAAGAAAAATGAATGAAAATTTTTTTTTAAATAAATTTGTTTTTTTATCTAGGAATGCACCTAAATTAGATATTAAGAATAATTAAAATAGTTCTTAATTTCACTTTTAAAATGTGTATATTTCCAGATATGTGAGTCTCTAGTGTAAAATTGTTTGTTTTCTACAAATAAAATTATTTCTATCTAGTGAATACACCTAAAATTAGATATTAAAAAAATAAAGTAAGTTTTAATCTCAGTTTTAAAATGTGTATATTTTCAAAACTGCAAGTTATTTTTTTTTAAAACCAAAGTAAAAGTTATTCTTTTTTAGCCACTAGTATTCGTTGGGTGTTTGTTACTGTTCTGCCTATAAAATTCTTCTAAACAAGGAAAATTAATTCATTCTATTTTTATAAATATCTTTATAGTTTTATTTGGCGAATACACTTAAGATTATATTAAAATGATTAAAATACTTTTTAATTTCAGTTTTAAAATGTGTATCTAAAAAAGAACATGTGATACTCACAGATTTGGAAATCTACACATCTAAAAATGGAATTAAAAGCTTTTAATTATTTTTAATATTTAATTTTAGGTGTATTATTTGCTAGATAAAAACATAAATTTATTTAGGAGGAAAAAAATAATTCATTGATTTCTTTGTTTAGAAGAAATTTATTTGCAAAACCCCAATAACAAGTTGACTGATGTACCAGAAAATAATTGCCATATTTTTAATTTAAACATGAGGGTTTCATTTTTGGGGCTTTTTTAAAAGCCATATCTGAAACTAATTTCTGGAGAGCTATACCATTTTCTCTCTCAAAAATGTGTTGTCTAAAGACACAAATATAGATGTTTTATGCAATGATTTTACCAATTTGTTAATAAATATGGTAGTTATTTATAGTTGACATTTTCTTCAAAAGTTTAATAAAAGTCGTGAATTCTATGACTAAATTACCTTTAAAGCCTAAAAACTAACTAGGTGAACAATCGCTACTTTATTACCCACTCTGATTTGCGGTTTTCAGATTTTCAATTCCAGTGGTCTTTTACACATGTCTATAAATTTTTGTTACCCTTGCTTAAAACCAAATATTGACCCATTACGCACCAGTTAAATAGACTTCCACAATGACAGACATTTCAAAAAACAACTCGAAAGTCGAAAAGTATATGGGGTGTTTATTTTATGTGACAAGACAGTAGTTTCAATAATTTGAAAGTTCTTTTACTATGCTTAATCTTTTTTATTTTTGCTGCTTACTTTATAATTTTTGAAGGAATTCACTTCCACAGGTCAGAAGAAATGAACATCTTCCTAGTTGTAGTTTAAGGTGTCTTCTAATGAGTTTACAATTTCAAGAATATTGATAAATATTGGTCACTTTTATTTTACAAAACAAAGTGATATGTAAAATGTAGTCTTAAAAAATATTTTGCATTTTTGGCTGCTTAAAGCATAAAACTGTTTTAACTTGCTGCAAAATAATAATTCAATGAATACATAAAATTACATATTTAGAAAGATTATTTTATTTTCTTTCCAGCCATATGAATATTTTTAAGATTGGACAAGAAATACACAAGAATTTGCGAGTTGAAAAGACTAAATTGCAAATTTATCAATCTCAAATGAAATCAGATATTGACTGGAAATGATATCATTACACAAGAAAATGAATGGATTTCTTAGAAAGTGAAAATACTAAATTAAAAACCGAATCAAAAACTGCAGTATCAAGGAAAAGAAAAAAGAAACTGATACTGAAAAATAAATTGCCAAACCAACCAACTCTAGTAAAGAGAGAGGAAAAAAGTAAATGGAAAGGTGAAGAAATTGTTTAAAGCAGGAGCAAGCAAGCAAGACAACTGGCCAAACTTTTCATAGTTGAAGACCTGAATAGCTTATCTGAGATAAATGAGTAACTTAATTCTCCAACAGGCAACCTTTGCTGAATTTCCTGTTTGAGGTTTTCTGTACTAAATCAAGAGTGCTCTTAATTGGCCCCCAATGTTGTTTTTCTTTTTGCAGTTGTGTATTTATATAAATGTTATGTCCATTTTAATTATTTTATGAGACAACACAATTTATAAAGTCAAAACTTAATAGCTAGGTTAAATTATTAGGAAATGGTGGTTATATACTAAACTATATCTGTCTGAATTCATGCACTCAAATGTACATGCTCTTAGGTTAACTCTATACTTATAACATCTCTGCCTACACATCGAAATTTTATCTATTAATCTTTTTTCATTTATTCATATTTTTTCCTCTCAATAGGAGTAGATAGTTTTGCCTATCACTCTGTTCTTACACCTTCTCCATCTTTTGAATAGTAAAGGTTTATCCTTTGTGTCTGGGTCACTCTTCTGAGGTCTTAATAAGAGTAGCTGCCATGACTTTTTTGTGATATGACTGGCTGGAAGCTACAACTCATTGAGGGTACCAAGTTGGCAGGTTTTTGGCATCCCAACCAGTAACAAGGAACCTAAACTCTTTGGTACCACATAGAGAGGCTGCTCTGGTCAATAGTCACATGATATCAGGGTTCTTGTAGTGCTACATTGTCTGCAAATATAGTTTGGTGACATCAAGTGGCTTCGTCACTTTAATTCCATAAACCTTGCCGGCATCCAGACTTTGAATTTCTCAATTGCTCAATCTCTCACTCAAATAGTAGATTTCCTTATTTGTTTCCTTAGTAATTCTGATGGACACACTTTTTTTACTTGGTTTGTTCCTTGCCTCCTCCCCAGACTCGTGTACTTTGCAACTCTGTCCATAGTGTCTGTCCGCTCATCTATTAGGTAAGAACCCTCTATTAACAAGCTTTTATTTTTAACCAACACTCTGATTGGGACTCATTTTAGGATTTTCTTCATGACACCCTAATGGTATGAAATTTTAAAGTTTTCATGCCAGAATGGAAATATCAAGTGAAATTGCAATGTTTTCCTTGGTTCACTCTTGCCTGTTCAGCTGCTATAACCCACAGGAATCAATTCTTTCAACTATACTAATGTGTCAGTTTGGATCATAGCAGATGTCTCTTTGTATCTGCTCATATGTTAAACAAGTGTAAATCCTCAGTCCCTACACTTTTCAATCCATTTGAAGTATTGTTATTTATTGCTGATAAAGCAGAAGGCTTTGCTCAGGAATTCTTTTCCAATTCCACTCTTTATTCTTCAAAAGTATCTTTGCCTGATTTTCATTCTAGAACAGAATCTCTACTAAGTGATATGCATATAACTCTGTTTCATGATTTCTGCTATCTGCTCCAAACTAGATCCTCCACCCAAGGCTTACAGACTTGATGGTATCCCTGCAATTGTACTAAGGAAATGTGCTTGTGCTTCTGAATTGGCTCCTGTTCTCTCCAAACTCTGGACAAATGCCTTGCTGCTGCTTGCTTTTCTGCTTTTTGAAAGTCCTCTGTAGTTCCTGTCTTTAAGAAGTTTAGCAGACCATCTGATCCTGTAAATTATTGCCCTATTAGTCTTTTGCCTCATTTTGGCAAAGTAATAGAAGTTCTAATCAACTTCACATTGGTTAAGCATCTCACTTCTCATAACTTTTTTTTTTTTTTTTTTTTTTTTTAGATAAATGATATAACTTTCATTTCTCTATGTCAACTGTTGATGTGTTAATGGTTATTACTGAATTTTTCTATTAAGCTTTAGATAAGAACAGCAAAACTTGGGATGTGGCTTTAGATATGTCAAAGGCATTTGACAGGGTCTTGCATGCTGACCTTCTCCAAGTTTAAGGGCTATTGTGTCACTGGCTAAATGTTTGGTTTAATCAAATCTTTCTTAACAAATCATGTAATGAAGGTCGTATTGAATGGCCACACTTTTTAGATCATTTCATAATAATGCAAGGTTCCCCTACAGCTTGATCCTTGGACCCTATGTTGTTTCTTATCATTATCAATGACCTTCCCGATGTCATCAGTTCCCATAGGTATTTTATGCTGATGACACTACTATTTACTCCTGTTTTAATAGTAAGTCCAATAGATCCAACTAAGTAAAACTGGCAGCTGCTCTTGAAAATTACTTCTAATCAGTTGTTAACTGGAGCAAGAAATGCCTTGCAAATTTTAACACTTTTAAAATGAAACTATTGCCTTTTAATCACAAGAAAGAACCTTTTTTGCCTTCTATCAGCATGGCTGAAAGCTAACTTCCAAGAGAGCAACACATTGCACTTTCTTGGTCTCACATTTTCTGCTGATATGAAGTGGAATTAATTTATTGAATCAATTGTAAAGTCTGCTGCTAGAAAAGTTGGTTCAGTGTGTCATGCCAGGAATGTTTCTTGTCAGAATCCATCTTACATATTTATAAATCCATCATTTGTCCACTTTCCCACCCTCTGTTTTTCTATACATATTTTCATGGCAGTTGTTCTAATAAGCTCTTCTCCTTGGTACCTCGACTGCATGGATTTAAACATACTACTAGATTGAAAACTAGGTCCCATCATTTTACTGTTGAATTTGCTAGATGTAACTATAAATTCTATTCTAATAGTTTCTTTTCTCACACTTCTCGCCTGTGGAACTCTTCGGATTTTTTCTTCCCTGCTACCTACAATCTTTGAAAATTTAAATTCAATATCAATTGCAATCTTCTACCTTCTTGAATCTTGTTCTTTTATTGTCCTTTCTCCTCACTGAAGCCTTCTCATTCTCTTTCAATGTGGCATTGGGGTAAAATGATTAAAAAAACAGTAAAGATGTGATTGATAATGTAGGTCATAAGAATGAACATAGGTAGATTGAGAATTCCTTGAAAGCATTGTATTTGAAACTGCCATTTATACCATTTAGATTTTGTATAAAACTAACTACTTTGAAAAATCTTGTATTTATTCTTTTTCTTTACAATAAGGTTCACCATGTACAAGGCTTGGAGTCACTTGAAGTAGAGGGTTATGTTAAGGAGCAGTTATATAGATAGGAGGGGAAGATAACAGTTAACTCTAGACTTGAACAGGTTAAGATTGTAGTAATCGAAAAACAGTCTGTATTTCCCAGAAAGAAGCTGTTTGAGTGGAACTTAATTCTCACTGATGGAATACAGAGGGAATTAGGGTGGGGTTTGCTACAATGTAAGTGGTATCGTGGGTCCTAGCCATGAATGTTAGCGCTGGCAGAACCAAGGAATGCATTTAATCCAAATACTTTCCATGGAAGTAATGATAGAACAGTGAGAGACTCTCCACATCCCACCTGTGAAAGAGAGGTTGGAGGATGGAAAATAATTTGTCACCCACAGGGACTTGAAGATGCTTTTGAACTCTGTTGAGAGTGGAAAGCAAGGACTGGGTAGCTCCCACCCAAATATGACAATTGTACTGCATTTCTGAACTGGTCTGACTCTTTTAAATGTAGAGTATAGCATAAGGAGTCAGATACTTACTGGAGTAGTATAGGGAGTTGACTATTTTACCTGCATCTTTAGTGAGGGATCATATTTAGGTCAGGTGTGAGTTTGAGGCTCAATGGTCTCTCAAGGCACAGTGCTTCCTTGAGGGGACATCTGTTCATTGTGACTGGTGGTAGTTCGGGGTCCGGTCAGCAGTGATGGAATGTAATTAGTTTGTTTTCAAGGCATTGAATGTAACCAGCTAGTTTTTTTTCCCCACTGGGAAGTTAGTGCTGATTAGAAGAAAGATCAGCTGCCAATCTTTACTTGTCAAGAGTTCTGGAGGTGCAATCATATATCATCTCATTGGCATAGATGTTTACAAATGATCTGTGTATATTCTTAGGCAGATCATTTATGTAAATCAAAATGAGGGTTAGTTCAAGAAGTGACCCCTGGGGGGGGGGGTGTCTGCCAAGGCCTTGGAGGACTGGCCATTAATAACTATCTTCAGGGATCTACCAGTTAGGAAGGATTTTATAATTAATACCATTCCGCTTGTTCCATAGCTGGAGAGCTTGTGTAGCAAATCTTTGTGCTACACCTTGTCAAAGGCCTTTAGAAATATCTAATGCTATGGTCCTCAAGGTTTGTTTGTTGTCAAGAGTCTCATTAATTCTGTGTGTAATGGTAGTTAGAATGTCAGCAGTGGATCAGGCCAATTGAAATCCATACTGCTCATCGCACAAGTGTTTGTTTCTATCTAGGTGCTCGACAGCATTCTTGTTCTGTAGTTTGGAGACTGGCCTAGACATTTATTACTCAGAAAGAGAATGAAATATTAAAAAAACATTAAATATTTTTGAAAATGCACTAAAAATCTATACCTTCTAAAATTGTGTATCTATACTTATTAGTGAAAAATCATATGAAGAAAAGTCCATTTGCAATTTGAGAACAGCAAAAATACTATGTGCTCCCTCATTGAACACTCAGATTCTTAATGTACACTTAAAATAAACTGGCTTGAATCTCAAATTAACCACAACAGACTATGTATGGGGAATTTAAAGGCCTATAAACCATTGTTGTGAGATTGGAGAGTTCATTTTAGTATCAAATGCTATTGCTAAAATTGTACCTATTGGCATAAGCACAAAATTCTTTCATTATTGGAAATAGATGAATGTGTTGATTATGTATTTATAAACAATATTCATTTTTTCAAGTTTTAAATACAAAAAACGGACATTTACCCTTGTAATCACAATAATTGATAAAATGGCTTTAAGTGATTATCACGGTTAAATAACATTTATAAGATAGATTATATTTGAATTATTTTGCAAAATAGCCCAGAGATCATGTCAAGTAAACATAAAGTTATTATTTTATAAGAACACTGACAAAATTTTCAAACATAATTAAAAGGGTATGCTGAGAAGTCCTGTATCTGAACAAGAGGGGTTTCCAAAAAGAAATTCTGATGTTTGATAATTTGGTCAGATTTTAGGAAGTATATTGTTTCAAGATCTTTACAATAGAAAAAAAATTTCATCTTTGACTATTTTACAAATAAGTATTTCTGTTTATCCAGTCCTCCATCTAATTATAAACTCATTTTGTAGATTACTTGAAAATTATGTCTTAAGAAATTTCTCTTCATCTTTTACAGGATGGAACAGGTTTACAGACAATGAGAAGCAAATTGATAATGTAGATGCTTTAAATATATATGATAAAAAATAATAAATTATCAACAGGGTGTGAAAATCATGATTTATGACTACTATGCACCTAAAATGGGTTTCTTCCATAGTATTTGTTATCTCATTACAATAAAATACTGTATAAAAATATTTGCATCTTCCTTCAGTTAAAATTCAGCTAACACGCTATGTTTTTTAAAGGAATGAATTTATTTCCTATAAAAAAACAAAAAAAAAAAAAAACAATTATTTAAAGTTCTAACAAGGAAAAATCAAATTATATTTATGCAATTATCACTTCTTACTATATCAAATATCTGATATTTTGTCCCTTTTAAAATGATAGAACATAAAACTTTAATATAAAAAACACTTTTTAAACATTGTTTTGCCGCTTATATAGGTAATGGATTAGAACACTAACTTGATAGACAACTAATTAAAATCTTGAACAGTAGCATTTTCTCAATAATTTTTTGCAGTGTGTTGTTGTTTCACAGGCTGAGCAAATCTCTACTCCCCTGTCTGTCCCACGACTTAAGCTAAATATCAAACTAGGAGGAAGCATTCCTGTGGCTGTGACGCCAGATACAGATACAAGTAAGAAAATACAGACATCTGCTATATCAGTAACAGAACGTGCACCATCAAATACACCAACTAACATTAAGCGTGACATCCCGTCTTCACCTCTTCCACATCGACCAGAGATTCCTCGACTGTAAGTAATTTTATTTTGAAATTTTTCTTCTATACTTTTATTTATTCCTCTTTTCTGTACTTAGCTTCATTTTTTACATTTCTATATGCGACATTTTTAGTTTTGAAATAATGCTAGTAGGTTGTTAAATAGCAATAGAATTGTAAATATTTAAAATTTAATATTTTTATTGTAGTGTCATTAGAACTCCAGTTCCAGTGATGTCTCCACCAGTGATTCCTGCAAAAAATGAAAAGTCAACTGCAAAAGTAACAAAACCCACACCAAAGGCTAAGGCAGCATTAAAAAAGAAGCCAGTTGTAAAGAAGCCAGCTGTGAAAAGAGAGAAGCCAACACCCAAGAAGTCTGCAAAAGTCATAGCCCCAGAGCCAGTTAATGTGCCCTCAATTTGTAAAATAGAAGCCTTAAATGCTCCACCCCAGATACCTCAGTTTTTGCCCACTGTTTCTGCAAGTAAACATTCAGAGATTGGAAATGTTAATGTAGCTGATATGTTGATGCCAGAAGCACTGTTGGCAGTTGTTAAACAAGAGAAATTCTCTCCACCTAAGCCCTTCATAAAATCACAAAAAATGACAGCTGCTGCACGGGAAAAATTGACCCAGAAAGAAAAGCAGGTGCTTCTCAAAACTCAAACCTTGCCAGTTTCCACTGCATTTGGTTTGAGAAAGACAGAAGAAAAAATTAATTTGAAGACTTCCAAGGTGAACCAAAATAAAACAAAAGCTGCTAAAGCCACAAAAACTACAGCTAAATTAACAGGGAAAAATGAAAAGGTTTGCATACGGGGTAAAAGTGAAAAAGCTACGGCAAAAGCAAAGGCTGAAAAGATCAAAGCTGAAAAAGCAGCCCTAGAAATGGCAGCAACTGCTTTGGCTAAGGTTGAAAAACCTGTCATTATGAAAGATAGGCCTATTATGAAAGTAAATAAACCTCCAAATAAACTTGGTCGTCCACCAAAAATTGAAATCCCTCCATCACCTCCTCCGACCATTCCATATCCTTCATCACCTCCTTGCATACCTGCTTCTATTGGTGGAACATTACCTATTGCTCAGCCAATCGGTCACCATCATTTTACACCGCTTTTAGCCAATATACCAACTCCAGTACCTACCATCCCTCAACCTTATCCTATTACAGTATCAACTCCTAAAGCCAATCAAGTTGTACCTAAAGTTGCTGTTACAGCAAAATCTACTCCAAAAGGGAAAGGTGCTAGGGCACATGCAATATCTTTGCCAAAGGCTCAGAAATTGAATTCTGCCAAAGCTCTATTAGCTTCTGTAAAAGAGACACAATCTGATTCACATGTAACATGTCCCTCCAACTTATTGACACCTATGCCATTAACGTCATCACCAGCACTCTCAGAAAAGCTCATGATTCCAAATAAGTCATCTCCAATTCCCAGTCCTCTATCATCACCCCTCCATATGATTAGTGGTCTTCCGCCAGACAACTCCTTGATTGCTCTGTCCAGAGACATTGTTTCTGCAAATATACCAATGGACTCCTCAGCTTCTTTTAGTTTACCTATCAGTGATATAATTGGATCTAGTGAAAATTCCATGTCACTTGGAAAAAGACCAGTCCAACGATCTGTATTTGCAGAAACTGTTGGTACTTTTATGGTAGGTATCTCTTACATATTCTGTTGGTGGTGAGTGATAGAGATATCTCAATCACATCTATTTTTAAATATGTAATTTAGTTAACTCTTCTTTCTTTCTTTTTTTTTTTTTTTTTTTAAATAACTTAAATCTTTAATCAGTAATTTAGATCTGTGCATATATAATGTAACATTCTTAAACAGATAATAATAAAATGATTTTTGTCTCAGTGTATTAAGTTATTGCTATTAGTACTGGTAACAAGAATAAGTCTTTCAGTTATAATTAAAATTTGGTATTATCAGCTGGGCACGAGAATTGATAAAATTTACTATTTAAAAAAGTTATTTGTAAATAACATTAAAATAATTGATTTATGGCTAGAAAAGCCAATAACTAACACATATAAACATAGTTTCTGGACCTATTTTGTGGCTAAAATGATTGGGTTTGATTTCAACCAGTGTTCAAATTCAGGTAATGGCCCTGAGTTTTAAAATGGAAATTTATCCTACAAATCCTAGATTATAGCACCCCTTACACATATACATTTAATCTATGTATAAGGGGTAATGAAAAATTCTCAATCTGACCAAGTAAGGATTCCTCTCAAAATTCTGATGTTTGCTTATTTGGTCAGATTTTAGAAAGTGGAAAGTACTTTTCCATATATCCATCATACATTTTACAAAATTTATTCATGCCTAAAAATCTCTATAAACATAGCTGTTTAATTCTCTCATTTATTTAAATGAAATCTAAAATTTAAAAAAAAAAAAAAAAAAAATTGTGCTGTTATGCAAAACAATTCACTAATATTTAGTGCAGTTTGTGTAATTATAATATACACTGAAATTTTATACATTTTCTAATTTTCCTTATTAGATTAGATTTTGCTTTGGATCATATTTGATGTAAATACCTATTTTAAAATGCAAGCATTGACATTTATTTGATAATGTTTGTCATTTTGTCATTAAGGATGAGAACGGTCAAAAAATTTGGATTTGCCCTGGCTGTAAACTGCCTGATGATGGCAGCCCAATGATTGGCTGTGATGGATGTGATGACTGGTATCATTGGTGAGTAAACATTTTTTGGTTATTTTGCTATTCAGTTTGAATTTTAAGCAGTTCATAAAGAGAAATACAAGTGGTTTCAAGTAGATTTAAAATAGATATTTAAAATTAAATTTGGTTATTTTAATTAAAAAAAGGTTGATAAAGAAGCAGCAATTAAGTTCTTTACAATAACTAAATGAGTTTCCAAATGTTAATGTTTCTGATATTGCAGAAAAACATCTCAGATAACATTTTTAGCATTTCTCTTAAATCACTAAATTTTAATGAATGTTGGTATGCAGCTGGTTAACTGCTTGTTCTCTAGGATGAGGAATTATCATATTTAAATTCAAAGTAATATTCTCATCATTTTTGTAATTATTACATTTTTGCCAGTCTTCTTGGAGGGTCTGTCAATCTGGGTATCCTTTAGGAATTTTGTACTGAATCATTTATTTAATCTATGAGGATTGTTCTACCACTGTCCATGTCTAAAGAGATCTTCTCTTGTTCCTTAGTACTTCTCACTCTCTTTCCACTGAATCTAACTGTACTACCTAACCCAAGGATTGAATTAGGGTCTTGTCCCATGGGACAATAGCCTAATAGATTAAAGCACTGGTTCATGAATTTGATGGCATAGTAATTATGAGTTTGATCTCTGGGTCAGGTATTATAAATCTGCACTCCATGTTATTGTAAAGATCCACTATTTGGCTGTCACAATATTCTATATTGTATTTTTTTTATCTTCTGTGGAAGCTGCACATCAAATTGACTTATATAACCAAACTATAATTTTGAAGCAAGTGATTTTCAACACTCTAGTTAATAGTTTGAGTATGTTGGCTATCTTGTGTAACATTAATTATTCTGAAGCAATGTCTTGATTTTATTTTTAACTGGTACATTGTTCAGTGAGAAAATTTCAGCCTATTTTTGATGATGCTTGATTATTCACAGTACTCTCTCCATATTTTCATCTTCAATTTAGAATCACTAAACAAAAATATATAAAATTTATTAGCCATCTTTTTTAAGTTTAATGTTAAGACAAATGTCACAATACCATCAGAACAAAGTTGAGTATCATTATTAAAAGCTAAATGTTCCTAATGCCATCTGATAATGGACAAACTTTTAAACATCAGTTTTTAAACAAAAGAAAATTCTCAGTGAAAAATATATGAACATCATGTTATCCTGCATGTAAAAGGAGCTACCATTAATTTGAAATGTTACTTTTGATTTACCTCAACAGGGTTCTACGTTGCAAGTGAAACAGTCACATTTGCGAGTGATTTTTCTAAGTGACGACTAGAAATAATAAAACGCTTATCTTTTGGCGACTGTGTTTTTTTCACCGACAATCTTCCAAAGCTCATTACTGAGTAAAAAATATCTGTTCAACCTTTTTTTTTTTTTTAATAAAATGAGCAAAGTCAAATTATTTAAACAATAAAAGTTTTAATAGAACAATATACAAGATATTAATTGGCATTTTGATGACGGCAGCACACATTTTATTCGCAGTTTCATGTTTCATTCGTCTTTCTGGGCATGCGCAAAGATTTAAAGAAACATGGCAACGAAGAAAACAATACTAAAGCCAATATCGGCTTTCTTCGCAAAATCGAACAAAGTAGAAATGCTGAATGAAACTGAGACTCAAAAGAATGCCCCGAATGATAAACAAAGTAATGATGACACACAAAATGAAAGTAAGTCATCCATTGTAATGGAGAATTTTGACAAGTTTGGTTTATCAACTTTCTCCTGGCTTTATTTATAGAGAAAAAAACATGATGTATTGTGATTTTTTGTTGTAGGGCTGGTTCAACTTTGGCTGGAAAAACTGATTTTGTAGATGGTAGTACTAAATTTAAACATGAAAATGTCCTTGCCCATAGTAAAAGTCTTAGACACGGCAATCATTAATAAAACAAGCAAACACTCAATTGAAAAGTCTCACATTGCCAAGAAATTTCTCGATGCAAAAATCAAATCAAATGAAAAGGATTTGACGGATTTGAAAGTTAAATTTAACACAGTTTATTATATAGGGAAGGAAGAAATGGCCTTTACAAAACTGAAGCCCCTACTCTTACTTCAATACAAAAATGGGCTACCTGTGACACCTGCATACAGTAACGATGTTGGGTGTGGTGAAATGATTTCTACTATTGCAAGCATGATCAGAGATGAGACATTGGAATCTATCAGTGACTCTCATTATGTGTCAGTTATGATTGATGGTGCCACTGACAGCTTTGTGTCAGAAAATGAAGCAGTTTATGTGAGAACAGTGTTGAATGGCAAAGCAGAAAATAAACTTGCTGAAGTTATTGCCATTGAACATGGACATGTTAAAGGCATTATCTCTGCTACTAAATCTGCTCTTTCAAAAGTGGTGATCATTGATGATGAAATGTCATTGAGAATTGTTGGGTTTTGTGCAGATGGGGCAAATGTGAATACCGGACAGAGGAATGGTGTTGTGTCACTGTTAAGGCAGGAAGTTCCCCCATCTCATAGACTTTCACTGTATGGCACATAGGCTTGAATTAGACCTATTGAACCTACAGAAACAGACTCCTATTATGCAGTCTGTCAATGACTGCCTACATTTGATATGGGAGACTTACCACTTCAGTCCAAAGAGCAAGAGAGAACTCAAGATCATTGGAGAAGAACTTGAAGCAAGAATCTACTCGACAGCGCCAGTGAAGGGTACCAGATGGATTCCCCATGTAGACAGGGCAATGAGAGTCTTTCTCCAAGGAAAGAAAGATGGTCATTTGGCTGAGGATCATGGTCAATACGCAGCAGTCTACACTCGTATGGAAAATCTTGCAGCAACATTATCAAATGCAGACATTTCCAGTCCCACTTTAAGATCTTAGATCAGCATTACTATAGTTAATATTTCTGAGTGACATTTACCAACCTGATAGGGAAATTGAAAATAAGGTAAAAACCTGTTGTTAAGAGTGTTACAATAACTGCAAATCATGACTGAATATTTCTAAATGACACTTTGCCAGGTAACAATTGAAGTGAATGTAATGTTTTTATGAGGTGGTTGTTGTTGTTTCAAGTTTAATAATATTGAAACTGATGTGATCTTCAAACTTGCATTTGTCAGTTGACTGAATTATCCTGAGTGATATTTGCCAGGTAACTGTAAACAGTTCTACAGTTTCTAGATCTTTTTGTTTGAGGTTGTTTAGTAATATTCAAACTGATGAGATCTTGAAGACTTCAAATTTGCATTTAAATTTTGTCAGTAAGTTTACTGAATATTTCTAAATGACACCTTTCAAAGTTTGCCAGGTAACAATTGAAGTGAATGTAATGTCTTTATGAGGTTGTTTTTTCAAGTTTAGTAACTAATATTGAAACTGATGAGATCTTCAAACATGTATTTTCAGTTGACTGAATTATTCTAAGTGATATTTGCCAGGTAACAGTACCACTGAATGTAATTGTTCTTGAAATTTCTAAATTTCATCTGTATTGTCTTAGAGAATTAGAAAATAAAACAAAACTTCACCTGGAATTGTTTTATTCATAACATTAGAGTGAAATAACATCACATGGATTTGGCTAGTAAACGAAAATATTTAGTTGTCAAAGGTCAACTAAAGGTAAATTTGTCCGTAGAGCCCAGCTCAATTTAACAAAGACTGTTTAAAAAAATGTGTTTTCAACAAGTAAAAAGAATTTTATAAACTAGAAAAGCCTGTCAGTCCACATCAGAGTAAAGATCATCATCATCAGGTCGAAAATTCTTCTCGGATTCTCCTCTTTCCTTCCAACCATCTGTCAGATATCACTGTTGGCAGGTTCTCCAGAGTCATCTACAAGTTGGTCAATGTAGGTGTGATGAGGTCTTCCAACTGATCTTTTGCCATGCAATAGGTTCCATAGGAGGGTGTCACTCACAAGTTCTGACTTACTTCTTTAGAAGTGACCAGCTAGCCGAAGCCTTCTCTCTCTTAGTGAAACTGAGATAGGAGGAAGGTGTCCATACAGGCGTTTCTTTGTCGAGTGTTTCTTCTAGCTGATGTGTAATGCAACTCGTAATCCTTGTGTATGTTCCGTCAAGTGATGCTTGTTGGTGTTTCGTCAGTGTCCATGTTGTTGAGCCATAGAGCAAGACATTCTACCATGGCCTTAAAGAAGTTCCTCTTAAGATTGTCAGAGAGGGTGGACTTCCAGATAGTGCTCAGACTATCAAGGACACCACAAAGTAAAGACAGAATAAGTTTTTCAGAAAGCAAGTGTTCATCTGCCCAATTTTTCTTTTTACATTTGCCTCTTCCTTTAACCCATTAAATAACAAAAAGCAATATGGTAAACTCTTTTTGTAGAGTTTGTAACAGAAGGATTTAAAATCTACTGTGTTGGAATTTTTTTTTTATAAACAGTCTTTGTTTAATTGAGGTGAAACCTATACTATTTTTTCTATTTCACCAGTCTATCACTTCAACATGCTGTAAATAAATTTATATATAAAGTCTTTGAATGAGGAACCGTGTTATAGTAATTGTTGTGAGAATTGTAATATTATGGCAAACATGGAATAACATTGTTTAACTAGGCACCTCTTGATGTAATTGTTCAACAGGTTGGACTTTGTAGATCGTTAATAGTGATTTTTAACCTTCACATTGTGCCCTGTAAGTAACATTACTTGACTGGGTCAATAAGTGCAGCAAGTTAGTATTTCATAGTATAGCACCTTCCCACCTCTAATATCATATTTTCTTTTGTTTTGTATAAATTTTAGAAATAAATGTTTGCCAGATGAATCAGCTGAAACTTTAAAACACACACAAAGCCCAGTAGTCTTAACAAATCATAATCAACAATCTCTATATTTTTGATCTTAACTCTCAAACAAAATTTTCTTACACTCTAAAGTATGGGTGAGCAAAATAAATCTAAATAATCTATTGCTGTGAATAAACAAATGGAGATTATTTAATAATCTATTGCTGTGAATAAACAAATGGGGATTATTTGGAAAATATTTTTATATTTGTTACATTCTTAGCTAAAATGTGCAATTTTCTTTTTTGCAGGCCTTGTGTGAATATCCGTGAAGAGCCACCATCCGAAGAACAGTGGTTTTGTCAAAAATGTCTCGTCAAAACAAAGAATAAACCTAAACGTAAACGAAGACGTAAAGCTAAAGCTTACTGACACAGTAATGTTACTATTTAATGAGGAATCTCTTGAGCATATCTTACATTTTAGCTTTCTGCTCTCCTCCATTTTAATTCATCTTCATTTGTTGTCATGACAGCATCTTGTGGCAGCATTATAAAACATGCATGAAGGAAGAAGTTATGTAAATGCCAAAGGAAATTTGAAAGGTGATGATTATATGTATGATTATAATATGGAAACATAATATCTGTTCTAGATATTTAAAAGTTTAAATTCTTTTTCATAAATTATAGAAAAAATCTAAAAGGGAAAATTATATACAAAAACTTATATGGAGAAAAAGAATTTTTTATGTCTACATTATCATTCTTAATGTCTTTATACTATAAATATACTTTTGACCGTCCCAGACCACACACAAAAATGCATTAAAAAAAATTAAGACTTTCTTCATATAGTTAATGAAACTTCATAGACTATACTAATTACAATGTCGTTAAAATTAGAAAACCGTACAGTTGAAAAAAGAATTAGTAAAATACCTTAAACTTTACAAAAAAATTTAGTTATTAGTTTTAATAAATCAAATGACATATATAAAATGAAAAATGTTTTTTTTTTAAAAAAACAATCAAGTCTATCAGCATATTTCGGAAGATAAAGGTTTTTTTTTTTTTTTTTTTTAGCATTTTGTAATTACAATATCAAGAGAGCATTATAAATAAAATAAGTATTGTGAATATTTACATATTGATATAAGAATAGGGAAAAGATTATAAATAAGGAGAAAGAAACTATTTTAATATTAAACTTATTTGTAAAATCATTAATAAGATCTAAACATTTAAGGAAAAGATTTTAATCTTATTTACATTTATTACCCACATTTAATGGATACATATAATTTTTAGTTCATAGGGGATGCTGAAAGATTCTTGGCTCAACTAAAACACAAAAAGATTCTGATCAAATTCTGGTCAAATTTTGGGAAGTGAGTTGAGAACTTTTCATCACCTCTTTGTATATTTAAAGGACTTGATATTAGTTGACAGACATTGTTACATTTTTGCAACATTTATTTTCAATAAAATCATGGAAAATTTATTTTTATTATTTGAAGGAAATACAATATAAAAACATACGATATTGAATTACAATGTGATGATGAACATGGTCCAATTGGACTAAATTTGTTATAACAATTTTTTCAAGCAACCTGAATATTAACTAAACATGTACTTCCTTCATTATTGCAACTAAGATAACCATATCTCCTTTTATAATGACATCAAGGAATTAAATGCAACTAAAATCTAAACTTCCTTTTATTTTCATTGGCTCAAAATGTTCCCTGAGTATTTGTACATTAATTCATATTTAGAATGCCTTAGTTTATTATGTAAGGCTATTAAGAAATTTTACCTGATTATGTAGACCATCTTGTCTGTAAACACAGTCTGTACATTTTCCTACATTTTTCATTGTTGTCATGCTAACAGTCAGTAATGCACTCTTAGAGAGTGATGTAGTTTTACTCATTAGTATTTGCATTTTTGTAAGGAGACTACACTATTATCTCCAACAAATTTTGATGCCTGTTCTATCTCATGGGATAATAAGTTTCAAAATAATTTTAATGCTGCAAAATTTGAATTAAACTTTAAATGCTTTAGGGTAAAACTATATTTTCATAAAATGAAGCTCAAAACAAGAGTACCAACAAAATTTATAAAATGGTATATAGCTTAATGTTTATCTTTTTACTATGTATTCACACTAATTTTCTTTAATAATAGATTATGTAAATAATCTTAGAATTTGTTGAATACAATTTACAAAAGTAAATTTAATACATCCTGTAATCAAAGCAATAGAAAAAAATTAATAACTATCATATTTCTGTTCAGCTTTATTTGGTAGTATCAATTGTCTTTTATTTTTATTTACATTTTGACTAATGTGTCCAATTGTTTTCAAGCCTATTAAAAATGTTTTAAAATTAAGAGATGAAAACATTATTGTGAATAAACACTGGAATGAAAGACAAAGTGATGTAAATATATGTATTATGTATTAAAAAATTGTGGAAAGTAACAAACTGCTTAAAAGTAATGAAGCTGAAATAGAAAGTAAATTTTTACTATGTATATAACATACAATAATGTTTGTGGCAGAATATTTCAAGACAAAAATAACAATTGGCTTGTTTTAATGTAATCTTTAATCTGCAGTATTTGGGTTTGCTTCCACTGTACTGTGGATTTTTTTTGGAGGGAGTTTGGTAGACTTTAATCAGTAATAGAAAAGATATTTCTTGTTGACATTGTGGCCCTTAGTGGCGGTGTGTCTCACAATGTCACTGTTACTGGTTGGTGTGTACCCACTGAATCCTTACTGAAAGGATTTATTTTATGATTTAATATAAACTCAACAAAAATGGTTCACAGATGACAGTTTAATAATTTATTTGTATTACACTACATTTCAAATCTTAAATGCTGCTATTTTTGTACCATAAGCTTTTACAAGTATTGGTAATCTGTAACAAAATCTTTAATTCATTAAACTTTTTTTTATTATGCACAAAATTAATTCTCTTCATTGGTTATTTTGATTGAGATATAATTGCAAATACTGGGTAGCTATTAATAGTAAAAATGATGCAATTGTCAAACAACTATTCAAGAAAAGTTGGGTAACTGACATGGCTAGTAATTGTAAAGTATTACTACTTTCAGCATGATGTTAAATTATAATTCTAGTGTAAGGAGTGAGTAATATTGTTTTGTTTGACAGGTTTAATACATCCTATATACTTTCTGCCTTTTCAAATTCTTTGATCTATTGATATTGAGATTTTGACGAGTTGCCACTTCCTGAACTCTTAAATGATTGGAAAGCAACTATATGCATTTTAATACACATTCACCATAGCCTCTACCAGGATATCATTTATATGACTAGATTTACATAAGGTCCATTAAAGTTTACCTTTTATGACAGTACAATGATAGTAAAAGACTGCAAAAAAAAAGACAATTGAACCTTCAATTGTTGTTACATACAAAAAGATTACATAAAGCCTACTTACCTATCCTTTGCCATAAATTAATAAAATTATATCTGCCCAAGACATTGTATTGTGGTGGTTAGTTGCTCCCTCAGTTTGTACTTTATATTTATACAAGAGGGATATCTTAATGGCATCATGGCTTGTAAATACTATTCATTCATATTTCACTAAGTTTATCAGTATATAATGTGGGGGAAAATGTTGACCCCATTCACAAATGGTGATATAAATAAAATGAAATTAAAATTGTCATTTGTGTTTTTAATTTTTTTTTTTTTATTTATTTATTTTTTTTAATAATAATAATAAAAAAAAACAAACACAGCAAACAAGTTTTGTCTTTGAAATCAATGATAATTTGGTTTAAATATTCACTGCAGCACTTTCAATCTTGTCCACTTTGGAGTTCTCTAAAGGAAAGAAAAATAGCCAGAGTTTTATTTAAATAAATTTTTTTTTTTTAAATTCATTTGACAATGAATTTAGAAATTTTTACAAAAAGACACTTTTAGAACAATTGCACCTAAGTAATAAGCCATTTCTTTTTATCAATCATTTTATCCACAAATTAAAATATTGAATTTTAGTATTTTTATGTGAATATTTAAGTCACTGAAGACTAGATAATAGGGCTGATATGACTAAGTCGGAGGTATAATTTGACCAGAATGAAAACACTGTAAAAGCTGCAAACACAAAGCAACAGAGTGTGTATGCAATAGTTATTGTAGCAGCTTTAATATCAAGTGCTTGTGTATGTGATGTCACAAGAAAAAAATAGAGGTTGTGAGATGTAATAAGATTTTAGCATTCCAAGGGGAAAAAAATCCAACAGAAATATGTAAACTTGTTGCTGGCAAACATGTAATGAGAAGGAAGTACATATTGTTCTGGGGGAGTGTTCACATGGTGTAAAAATCTACAAGATAACACTACTACAGTAGATTTATCAAATAATAGAAAAACATCACTGAGTGAGTTGATGCTTAGATTCTACAAACTTTGTTAAAGGCTGTAGAATTTGACCTGAAGTTTGTAACCGTATCATCCTTGTATGCAACGCCACCTCACACACAGTTAAACTATCAAAAGAGTGGCTCCAATAATATAATTGATGGGATTTACCATATCCACATAATCTGAAAGTGAGTGTTCAAGTCGGACTTAATATCTGTTTAGACCCCACTCAAACATTTATCCAGGAAGTGGTTTCACACATGATGCTATTGCAAGTATGGCTCCAATGTTTGACCATGTTTCTTGAGAAAGTATTTACGCACTTGTAGATTGATAGAACGAATGCATCAGTTTTGATATCAGCTATGTGGAAAAGTAGTATAGTAATGAATATACAATGTTTTATTTGTATGGTAATAAACATTGGATTATTAAGTGTGTGTATCTTATTTTCTGGACATCTGTCATATGTATGCCAAAATAATAAAAATAGAATTTTGTAGAGTTTTTCTTTTGTCCTAAGATTTAAATTGAAAGGTAACTTTAAGTATTTTCATTAAATTTTCCAAGTCAAGAATCTGCTTTAGTTAATGAATACCGGAAAATTAGATGTTCTAGTTAAGTGGGTTGTGGAATTCTAATGTGTAAATACATTTTAAGCTGTTGCTTTTATTACATATTTGTATAATCTATATATGAAATGCATATGTATTAATTAGTACATATACGCATACCTATGTTCTTGGCTTGCGACTATAGTTTTACTGGGTGGTGTTCTCAGTTCATCAGGCACAGGGTCTATGTTGCTGGAAGTAAACAAATGGCCACCTTCATTCCCACACGATTTTTTCCTATTTTTAGCCCGTCATTTTTTTTTTACCACCCTTCAACCTGTAATTGTTTACTGACCAGGGGGACCCAACATCTTTAATTTCAAATTTTAAATTAGTAATTAACTTTTTCTTTCATTCACACTTTTTTACCCCCTCATATTCCGCTAATT